TTCACATATTCGTGAATTCATCATAGGTTCACGCGGATATTTCTCATACACATCCATTCACACATACATACACATAAAGCATGCATACATGCATTCGCGCACACATACAAGGCAGCATGTACAGAAACCACAGATCCCCAAAAGAGGACTCCGACCGTTGATGATATAAATCCTGCAGTACCCATAACAAGGAATCTACCATAACTCCCAGTCTAGGGTCCTTACGGTAATGCAGGATTTATACCATCAACCGTAGTATAGGGGCCCTAAGAATTACCTATACTATTTTGGGGGGGGTTCCTTATTACAACTATAGTATAAAATCCACCAAAGCCATTCTAATTATCAAGGCCCCTATACTAAGTACTCAGCCCTGTACCAGGGGTGACGGATACCAGCCGTGCGAGACGGAAGCCCTCGGAGGGTCCTTCAGGGAACCCAGGAGACTCCATTATACCTTAATTAAGGAATACACCTAAGATCCCCCCTTTGTGATTTAAGGTATATACCTTAATTAAAGAATATACCATTAAATTAGAGTACCTTAATTAAAGAGTATCCCTTAAATCATATCAGGGACCCCAATATGCCTTAATTCAGCAATTAGTGTGCACTTAAACTAGAGTAAGATCCCAAATATGATTCAAGGTATATTCCTTAGGTAAGGGGTATTGGAGTCTCATGGAACGGGGAGGGGCTGTCGGCTGGGCTTTGGGGTTATATAGGTGCTCAGGGGCACACCAGGGTTCGGGGGTTTGGGGGTTTTCGGGATTGGGGTTTAAGGTTTAGGGGTTCAGGGCTTTGGGGTGTTAGGACTTTTTTCCCTCCTACCTAGCAAGGACAAAGCCCGCATTGCAGGGTACCGCCGAAGCAACAGTTGAAAGAGCCGTAGCGTTGACAGCTAATTGACGGTTCCCAAGTGTAAGGCAACTAGTTGGCCTACATCAGGGTTTAGGGTTGAGGGTAGATGACCAGTGAAGGTGTCGGGGTTCGCTTCTTCAGAATTTTGGCGTTTTGGGAGTTATGGGTTGCAGGTTTCAGGCACAGATTGGAAGGTCTTTTAAATTCGGGTATCTGTGTCTTGGGGTCTAGACTTCCTTGGACTACCGTGTTAGCCTGGTCAATTCAGGCGAAAACCTTAACCTTTAACCCTAAACCCCTTTAGGCCTCGTTGTCCAGCAGCCCGGTTACAGCAAGAGCCCCGTGTCCCGGCTTTGAAGAACCCTAAACACCCCGTAGACGGGTTTAGGAAGTTTGAGGCTCAGGTCGTGATCCCGGGGTGGGGAGAAGACACAACCGATTTGAAGAAGAGGGCCTTTGAGTCCAGGGCTGGAGGATCTGGCTTTAGGATGCTCCGGAAAGGGTTTGGAGATAACGAATTGCATTGACTTGGCAAACGATCCGACGGATTTCGGGTACCTTCGAGCTTGGGCTTTGGTTCAGGACGGTTTGGGCGGCGTGGCTCTTTGCTTCTCCGTTTTTGGGGGTGTGTGTTAGGGCTTCTTTTGCCGGAGCCTTAAGCGTTGAGGGTTTCGGAGCTGCAGATTCGGGACTTGGGGTTTCCCATGAATATCGGGGCCTTAATGTTTAGAACGGGGCTTGGGGGCCATTATACAAAAAAATCTGATAAAGAACCCCCAGAGTAGTGTAGGTAAGTATTGAGGCCGCCTACATTATGGGTGCAGAGATTAGGCGGTAAGACTCGAACTCAGCCTCACGCGTGGATTCGGGCTGCTGAGGTCCATAAGCCCAGTAACCCTATCCTAAAAGCTCAAGCTCTACATTATAGAACCTTTAGCCTTTCTGATCATTCGGCTTAGTTTAGAGTGGGCATTGATCCCAGCCTTGCGAGAAGGAAAAAACCCGAAGAGTTTCGGATCTAGCGTTTAGGGTCTAGGGTTTGGTGGAGGGGCTTAGCGCTTTTTTGAACGACCCTTTTCCGTCTCGGGGTTTAGGGTTTGGGAGTAAAGGGTTTAAGCTTTACAAGTTTGGGGCTTAGGCTTCAGGCGTTGGGGGTTTAGGGTTTAGTGTAGGCACCTGATTAAGACACCCTGGGTCCTTATTGGGGTTCCTTATATGAATCCTAATAACCTGGGGTTATAGACCCCGGGTTTCTTAATGTCTTAATCAAGTTCCTACATTAGGGTTTAGGGTGTTTGTCAATTGGGCTTTTGATGCGTGGGACCCGCGACTCCTGAGCGCTGCGCGTGCTCCTTGGCTTGCAGACTCGAGGCCCCGAAAACCCAAGGCCCTGAACCCTGATGTAGGGCTTGGGGTTTAGTGCTTTAGGGCTTTAGGGGTCTAGGAATTTCGAGGTTTAGGGGTTTAGGGTTGAGGGTTCCGGGCTTGGGATTTGTTCTTTGCCTCCTGCATTGCTGAACGAGTCGCTAGGCATGGCAGTCGAGAGAGACATACGAGTAAATGCAGCTTACAATCTCCTTTCGAGACTGGTGATCATGGATAATGCATTTCTCGTTGGAGCAATGGAAGCTGCAGCTTGGTTTTTGGGGGGTTTTAGGGTTTGCGATGTAAAATTTAGGGTTTAGAAGGGTGTGCTGATAAGAGATTTCAGTGTTTCTCTCGTTGGGGCGTTTCCGGTCGCGCGCATAGTCGCAAGGAGGCTTTCCAAGGGCGGCAGGGTCGGTCTAAATGCCCCTCAAATACCCACGAATGCTGCTAGAATGCCATGGACTTCCATGAACTTGCCCTTGAATGAAAACCAAAATGCTCGCGAGTGCCACATGGATGATGTCGACGTCGACTGCCACTCCAATTCCCTCAAACCCTGAAAAACGCTAATCTCGGACCATCCTTTCGACATGCGCCTTCATGTCCAGGATGCGAACCGAACTTCCCAGAAGTGTTGTGGACGTGCGAGAGCGGATGTTGAATTGTTCCGAAGGTGGTACAATAACTTGCCCCCAGTCTAACCATCACAGGCTCCTAGGAATGCTGCCCCCAAAACCCGAGTCTAACTATGAAAACCTCCCAGGAATGCTGCGGGCGGGCCACTGCCTTTGAAGCTCTACCAGCACGTCGTCTTGCGCGTCCAGCCTCTCGAGGACCTGCTGTCTGAATGCCAGAGTTTAGGGTTTTGGGGTTTTACTGTAGGGTTTATAGGGTTTTGGGTTTAGGGTCTCGGGCTTTGTTAAAGAGTTTCCACAAGGCAGGCATGGCTTTAGGGTTTGGGGTTTAGGGCCTAAGACACGAGAAAAACGACCATGAGAAACCTAAAATCGCAAAGCCTTCATTCTTTCTACCAGCCCCTTGCGCCCACGATGAAACTGTATGTGATGACCTTTGGGGCGAGAATTGGATCTAAACGCAATGAACAACATGTCCGACCCAAGGAGAACCGCTAACGAGCCCTACACGACCCTTTACCTCTCTGGAACCCGTAAAACTTATCAAGCCCCGAACTCTGAACCTTAGACCCGGAACCATCATAAACCCCTAAACTCCCTACCACCTGAGCCATCCTCTACTCCTAAACTCCACAACCCTAGACCCCAAGCCCTGAGCCTTACATTATTGTCTGGTTCTTAGTAAGGCATGGGGGAATGGGGTATTGGGACTATTATTGGGGAATATATAATAATACTAATAGTAGGGACTACTAGAAGGATCCATTCCCCCATTCCCTACTAAGCACCAGACAGATTAAACCCCTTTTGGTCAAGGGACCTCTTGGTGGCTCTTCCTGAGAAAATCGCTGAGCGTCTCCACTTGCTCGCTGCAGACAGAGCTGACACCTGTAGGTTTAAGGGTTTTGAGGGTTTGGCTTAGGGCTTTGAAGTTTAAGCTCTAGGGTTTCGGGTTCAAGGCGTAGGATTTAGGGTTCAAAGCTTTTGTACGCTCACACTCGCACAAGGCGGGCCAGGCTCCACATAGCCCGTCGTATCACTACTGGGGCACTTCCCCAAGCAATGCAAGAGTTGTCACACAGTAAAGGGCCAGATAGCCAAGCAGCCCCAACCTCATGCCATCATGCAGACATGCAGAGGTATGTCCACCTCGTATTCTCTGTACCGTGTTGCCGCTTGCAGAAAATCTTTGACTTCATGCAGTAAATTCAACTGCCACCACACCATGCATGTATAAATTCATCCATGCAAATGCAAAAGTCCATGCAGTCAGAACTCCATGCAGAGTGAAACGTACTGTCGCTGTCGCTTCCAGTCCAGTGGGCGTTCCATATTTCAGGAAGGGTGACCAGCCACAGTGCCGGCTGTACTGGCATCCATGTTGTTCATTCGCGCAACATATGTCGTATGTCGGCGGCATGGCATTCCAGGAAGCTGCATACCAAAAGACCTGCACCAAGCCACCTCACATTGTCACCCCAAGGCGTCGCAACGACACATCATGGTGGGGAGCAGGACCTTTGTTCACCAGCGAACATCATGCCCCCGAGGCTGTCCCAGGGCTCCACCCTGGAAGCTGTGGCATCATACATCCCGAGCAAAGGCTTCAAGCAGCGTCTAAGTCGCTGCCATGGAAAACACGGGTGTGAAGGGGGACGACAGCGGGGCTTCGGGCACTCAGCAAATCTGCAGCTTTGGGGCATGTTTCAGACGACTAATTGCACCATCAGTGGCTTGCTTCCGATTTCTGCAGAAAGAATGCAAGCACAACTGCTTTCGGGTGCTTCTACCATGTTCAGTCTCGAGGGCATCTTACACGCCTCGGCTAGTCACGGGCCCACTAACAGACTCAAGTTAATGAGCACGACTCAGATCCATGCAGCTGTACCTAGTGAGGCTTTAAATTCAGTGCATAGCAACGAACCTAATACAGGACCACCGTCGTTCCTATAGATATTCAACCGGGCACCAAAGACAATAAAGGTTTATACAAATTTGTACGTCTGAAAGCATACTCACACATGCTTCCTCCTCGTCCGATGACAGGCGAATGTGCAGTTTTGTTGGTTCCTTCAATAACCCTTCCGACCATCTATTCTGCCGCCCTTGCCAGGCGCGTGCCTGTTGGCACACCTGTCAATTGGGGAACCTGACCAAGCGCTCGCAGAGGCCTTTCTCCGTTGCGCAAGTGTATGAGCGAGCCAACCGTCGTGCCGGATAGACCAAGGTGTCCCACACCGCAGTTGCCATGGAGCTGAAGCACCACGGTGGGTCTGCGTCTCCGTGCAAATGGTCCAGGAGCTCTTGGGAGTAATCGCTGTTGATCACGGCATGAAGGTTGCGGCAAGGGCGAGGGGTTCGACGACGTCTTCCTGCAACGCCCAAGGTGCGATCAACTCGGCCGTAACGAGCTTTATGCCTCCGCTTCGGCGGCGTGTGAAGGCCGACGCATTGCCTAGGGTCCGGCTCCTCTCAGGCTGGTCTCGACGTAATGGACTACGTCCCAAAACGCGCAGGCCTGGACCTTTACATAGTTGAGATCTGCCCGCACTCGACCCGTGTTCCTGTTGATCGCAGCACACGACCTCCGAGATCTCCACATAGAGTTCGCCTGGGCACAGCCCTATGGTGCGTACCTTGGGTTCGATGCGGCCAACACGGGCTGCGGTCCACGCCATCATTGCGCCGACCCGGTTGTTGATCTCGAACGCGATAACCACGTCCTCAGTGGTTGCATCCGCCTTTACTCCACGGCCGGCGACGACGGGCCTCTTTAGGATGGTCTCCCAGGCCGTCTTGACGTGCCTGTAACCGTCGCAGCAACCTCCGTTCTAGGTGACTTCGGCCCACACGGTCTTCTCGCTCGTACGAACGGAGAAGCCATCGCCATAATCTTCGACCTCATTGTAGAGGTAACCAAAAATAATCGGTAACTCCGCAAACAACAACTCCATGGGCATCATTGATACGCCGGTTGCCAGGGTTGCCCCGGTCCTCGCAAAAAGATCCAGCCTTGTTGGGGGCCATAGTTATATTCACTATCTAACATCACCAGGAGTGAAGCCTCCCTGTCGAGGTGGTTGAGATCCAGCGCGACACAAATGCGGACATCACAGGCGTCCTCATAGTAGCGGACAGATTGGGACAAGGTGGCGAGTTTCGCCTGCGCATAGTCAGTCCTACGCATCCCTTTCTTCCCTAGCCGCTTCTTGAGGGGCGCCCGGTCCGGACCCTTGAACTTGCCCTGCAAGCCGCTCATGGCTGCTCTAACAAGCCATGTGCAAGTGGGTCCTGCCCCAATCTTTGGCCTCGCACATAGGCATCCAAAAGTTGACATGGCCGTGGGTCGCGACTCGAATGCCGACGCTCCGACAACCAGCGTCTGGATCCCCTCCTCCTCCTCCACACGGATCTGGCGTTTCCACAGGGTGCGCGCGACTGCGCACAGTGCGGCCCCTCGGGCGTGATCACCAGCAGTGACCTTTACCCGCTGAAATGTGACCTCATAGCCGGCGTCGGCGCACCATCTCTTCACATCAGCAGCGTCCTGAGGTGTGAGGCTCTTGGCCACCTCAATCGCATTAGCTGCTTGGCGCTCTAACACGTCAGCCACGCGTGCACTGAGTGCACTGTTCGCCACACTCACGCACACGGTCTCGAGTTGTGGCAAGATCGGTCGCCATGATGTTCACCGGAACGACGCGCCTCAGCTGGCGGGTGTGTGTGCTTTTCCGCGGTGCCGGGCAAGCTCCTCAGAGCCAGTTAACAAACAAAGTCAACCTCACGTTGGCCACGGTTTAGGGTTTAGGGTCTAAGGGCTTAGGGGGAAGGGTTTACGCTCTCGCAACTCGGACAATCCAGACGAGGTTCTTGGTCGGCAGAACAGTAGACTAGAGCGCTCACCCGACAGCTTCAGAAAGACAGCATGTGTTAGGGGGAAGGGTTTAGGGTCCAGAGCTTTTTCATCACTCCCAGCTTTCTTCGCTGCAGAGACCTGGTCTAAGGGCATGAATAAGTAGACTAGGGTTTAGGGGGGGTCTATGATTCTTACGGAGAACCGTGCAACCATCCCTTTTTTGCACCTAGACTCCTCATGATGGGCACTAACATCCCCAAACCTGAAACCTCAACCACAGCCCTAAACCCGAAACAAAAAAAAGAACAATGAAAGAAATGCTCCGCTCTGCGCAGCCCGAAGGACAGTGTAGAAGCATCTCTAACTCCTCCGACTTGCTGTCGTTTCTCCAGAGGTGGCCTTAAGCATCGCAGGGTCTCTTGGAGGCCCCCGTCTTTTTCTACGCTTTGAGAGACGTTTGGGTTTAGGGTGTAGGGTTTAGATTTGGGGGTCCAGGGTTTGGGGTTTAGGGGCTTAGGGTTTAGGGTTCAGGGCTTGGGGTAAGGGTGCTTGTGAGAGGTGAGGTTTGATACGGGTCGTGACCAGTATTTACAAGTTGTGGTCTTCATTTACCTCCTTGAAGTGCCCACAGGGGGCCTCGCAGGGCATGCTTAATAGTGTAAGGGCTTGTCGGCGGATTTGAACGGCTTTCAGATTCCAGGCTTTACGGCTTTGAGCTTTCCTCGAGAAAAGCTTGTGAATCCTAACGAACTCCAACTGCCAGCTCCCCTCAGCACGGGCTTCGGGGGTGTGCCGGCAAGCTGGAATCTTAGACCCTAAACCCTAAACCCTCAACTCCAAACCCTTTTGCAGAAGACTTCTCTCACCCTAAGCCCTTTATTGAACGAGAGCTCTCTGAAGTGCCTCCAGCCCTAAACCCTTTTTGAGCAGGGACTGAAATGCACCAAGCCCTGCATCCCTCAAACGTCAGCACATATGGCTGAGCACCCCAAAACCCTAAGTCTTGCCAGCCAAGGCGACCTGGCCGGACGAAATTCGTCCGGGGCGGTCGCTCCAGAAACTCCTGGAAAGAGCGCTTTGGGGATCGGAAATTGAATCCTTGAAAGGCTCTTTGAAGGTTCTGTAAAGGCCTTCGACATACTACAGGACATTGCTGCTGCTGCCGCTACTGAGACGGTGCCGACAAGGACGACGACGGCAGCATGTTTGGTTCTGAAGTTCGGATGTATGACGACATGTGCCTAGCCTCTGAAAACTCACACTTATTGAAGTGGAGATCATTCATGACAGGCACGCTGGCGGGTTCCATGTTACCTGTAGGTAGGGGGAGTCACTCTCCCTGGGTCTGTAGCCACCCCAACACGAAACCTTAAACCTTGCAAGAATGCCCAGGCACTACACCTCTTGATCTTCCAAGAACCCAGCCTTCCAGCATGGTCCAGGGTTTCGGGTTTACTTACTTTTGGTTAGTAGGGAATGGAAGAATGGTAGTAATAGTTTTTTCTTGTACCCCATTCCTCCATTCCCTACTAACCAACGGTAAGTATAGGGTCGAGGGGGCAGCCTCACCATCCAGGTCTGGGTCCGGATCATCGCCCGTCGCCAAGGTCGTCTCCATCGCGGAGCAGCCGCAAACCGTCTTCGATAAATGCAAAAGCGTCACCGATCCCTAAACCCTAAACTCTGGGATGTTGACACTTCAAGGTCGCAGAGAATGAGGGTGGGCCTTCAGGGGTGGGCTCGCCATCCGGGTCTTATTCCTCGATGTCGTTTATTTGAAACACCTCCTGGCTGAAGAAAACAGCGCACATAGCGGACATGAGTAGTCATGGGATCACTCCCTTCCAGTTACTCTAGTACCCATAGACTTATACTAAATGCACCCTCAAAAGACCTCCTTGCGAACCCTTGACCTGCCTTGTTTCGTTCAAGTCGCCCTATCGCCATCCTAGAACCTGGCGCTATGTCGGCAGTTCTCTAAAGCAGGGTCCCTTTGAGGATCCCAAAGAAAAACATCGTGTGCCACCCTTATATCAAGGAGCCGAGAATGGACTGACTATAATTTAGCAAACTACTCATGTGTGTGTGTGTAGGTACGGAAGGCCTTGGACCTCTGCATGCCAGCTGAACCCAAGCGCCCAAAAGTTTAGGGTTTAGGACTCAGGATTGCATCTAAGGTTAGGTCTCGAGGCTTTAAAGGAGAAGCCAGAAAGTTGGAACATCATTCTGCCCATGGCCTTAAAGTAAAGTATAGTTGATCCTAGCACCAATCCTCCTAAACCCATGTTCAAAGCCGAAACCCTAAACCCTAAATCCTGTTCGGTATAGGGTTTAATTCGGGCATAAAGCCGCTGGGATGCCTCGAGAATGCACTCACAGCCCCACGCACCTCACCAATTGAAAGCTCGAATCGATACTTCTTCCTGCTGATTGAAGGTCTTCAGGGCGCTATTAAGGGTTAACTACAAGATGTGTTTTGTAGGGTTTATATATATATATATATATATGTATATGTATATGTATATGTATATGTATATGTATATGTATATGTATATGTATGTATCCTTGAGGTGTTTCGGGTAAGCCGCACGCACGCCGAAAAGAACTGTCCAGGATCGAGCAGCAAGGAAAAGCTTTTTGCTGAAACCCGTCGTGGTGGACCCTTGGCCTTTGAAACGCCGGCACCGGAGCTCTGAAGCCAAAGTCGCTTGGGTTGCGAGATTTGGGAGTCTCCGAAAATTAGAAAGTACCTTATTCTGGGGTCCTTATAACAAGGATCCTACTAGTTAGGGTACTATATTAGGGTCCCCTATTTTCGGAAACTCCCATTCACTGGTTAGGGCCTAAACCTAAGCCTACACTTTTGACCCGAAGCCACACACTCCAGATCAACCCTAAACCCTGATCCCCGAACACCTGTCCCCACGCTCTACATCCTCTAAACACATGAAAGTCATGGCCCTGCATAATTCTTCGTAGCTGTAAGCTCCGAGAGCACTTAGGTACTTATTTTAAGCTATTTTTTCTATAACTGGATTTTTATAAATGTTAGCCGTGCTTTAGTTACCTAAAGCTTAAAGCCATGTTCTAATTGCTGGGGCTCGTGTATTCGATGACACTACAACACCCAAGAAAACCCTGCAAAACGTTGGCAAAAAAAACAACTGTATAGGCTTGCAAGATCCAATTACACCCTCCGAGGTCCAGAAAACATCCTACCACGAAAAGCGTGCAACAATAGATGCTAACTTTTTATGCTAACATTGAACTGCAAACGACCGAAACCGCCATCCCTCAGGCCATGTATTGAACCTGGAACCCTAAACCCCCCTGAACCCTTTTTATTAAACGCTACATCCCAAACTCCAAAACTCGTAAACCCTAAAGCCTAAAGCATTCATAAGAACCTGCAGAACCCCAGCTTCTGCAGGTGTGGGTCACCACAGCAGCCATTCGGCTCGGGACTTCCGGTGGTCCCGGCTCTTGAAAAAAGCTTGATGCTCTGGGGCTCGTGTTGGGCTGAGGGCTTAGGGTTGAGGGGTTAGGGTTTAGGTTTTGGGGTTTAGGGTTTGGGGTTCAGGGTTTGGGGATTAGGGTTTCGGGCTTCGGGTTTATGGCCTGAGGCTTAATGAGAGCTTAGGGTCTGGAGCTCGAGGTTCAGGAGCTGAAACTGCAACCTCGGCGTGAGGGCTCGAGGATTCGGGTTCTCAGCTGCAAGGCTGAATCCCTGGAAGTGGAAACCTGCTTAGCAGGGCATGATTGAAAAAGAATGGAACGGAACCAGATGACCGCAGATTCACATGGCTTCGGCATCTGGGAGGAGGGCACTTCAGACATCTTGGCTTAAGCGCAGCTTCGGCCAAGGCTCGATCTTTCTTACTTTAGGGTCCTATGCTGATGAAGCTTCCTTTCCAGGCCCGGCGCTTTCCTCCAAAGGAGTGGCCCTCAAAAGCCTGCTTCCTCCCCAGTCCTGCAAAGAACGAGCATCGGGCTCAACGCACGATTCAGCCTGCGGTGTATTCTGCCGCGAGTGGCACGGAGAATCTGAGGAAAGCAGGGGAGAGTCTTCCGTGTAGTATGGGGATATAGGGGTTGCAGTACTTAGTAATTAATAGTGTCCGAATAGTATCCGGCCATAGTCCCTATATGCTCCTACTGCAATGTATATGCTCAACCTCTATCCCAATCGTTATAAGCCCCCCTGTACTAAGATTCTCCCTCGTTGGGACGGGGTGCTGCAGGCAGAGCTGTGGACGGAGCTTTTGCTCCCGCAGGATGCGCTGGCCACCGAGCTCGGGTCTGATTCGATTTGGGGGTTTAGGGTTTAGGGTTTAAGTGTTGGGGTTTAGGGTTTAGGGCTTAAGTGTTGGGGTTTAGGGTTTTTTTTTTTTTTTTTGAGGGCTCTTTTCCGCCTGCAAAGGGTTTAGGATTATCGACTCACACACTCGCACAAGCCAGGCATGGCCTCAGATACTAAGTCCGCTGAGCTTAGGATTTAGGTCTTACGGTTTAAGGTTTAGGGTTTGGGGACTTTCAGGGTTTTGTCCCTAGGGTTTAGGGCTTGTGGGGATTGGTAATATGTTCGGTTCATGTATCGGCACCCGAAACCCTTTTTGCATCCAGCTTGCAAAGCCTCTGCTGGGAAGTAGATGAGCGCCTAAAGCAAACCCGAAACCCTGAACCCAAGATCTCCTGTTACTGAACACAACGGGAGCAGGTTCTTTACAAGGAGCTGTTTGCTCATCTTCGACTAAACCTCTGCGCCGTTCGAAGCTCTAGGAAATGTGGCTCCGGTGGCTCTGAGCTCGAGCTCCCTTCCTCCCTTCTTTCGATGAGTCCAAAGTTCGGCTTCGGGGCTAGGGTTCGGGGCTTAGGGTTTAGTGGACATGTAAGATTGTGATTTACCACAAAAAAGAACTTTTCAAGTATGCAACTCCAGCTGCTCAAAGGTATGGCCACAACAGTGGATCCGATGTACCGAGTATCACCTTGCGGACGGGGGTGTTGGGTATGTGATATCACCAGCGTGCCCGGAATTGTTGCCTGCTTCCTGCCTGGCATGAATGTATTTGCCTGGGCGCCCTGGTCCTCCACTAGATATCCCTAGACAAACCGTTTCACGTAACAAACCCCTGAACAACCACAAGTAGAATCAGAATGGAGCTCTGGAGTTTATTATGCTAGGCTGCTAGACTTATGACGGAAAGTCGAGTAGTCTTGCTCTGAGGCACCCCTGGCTCTGTGTAAGAAATTTCCTAAGATAACCAGAAGCAAAGGAAAGCTCTCCCGTCCTCCATCCCGAACGGCCTGGACTCCCCGAACCCTCCCAAAACCCCAGCGCACACCCGAAACCTCCAGCCCTAAAGCCTCTGTTCGCCCAAAAGGCCCGAATCCCCGAACTCCAAGCCTAAATTTAAAGCACCCTCCAAAGCTCCCAAAAGCCCTTCTTGAAGCCCTTCTTGAAACCCCAGACCCTGAGACCTTAAAGGAGGGCCCGGGTTTCCTTTAAAGTCCTTGCGGAAATGTCGGCTCTCACCACTTGCGGAACCCGGCGAAGCGTCGGAGTTGCCTTGGACTGGGTTTAGGAGTCAGGGCTTAGGGTTTAAGGTCTTTAGAAGGATTTCATGGGCGATGGGGTTATATGTCTGTTGTTGGTACAGGGCCCTTGAGAATCGGCTTTGGGGCACTCTTAATGCGATTACTAAACATAAAGGCAACTAGCTCTCTCTCTCTCTCTCTCTGTCTCCGGTTGCATCCAGAAGTTGCCTATAAGGGGTACTATTGCAATTTCTTCTGAGCCCCGTCTAGAAGTTCTTGCTTACACTCTCACAACAAGGACCATTCAGGGGCGCGGTCGGTTGAAACAAGTGTGGCTCCTCGCTGCCCGGTTTAGGGCCTCTTGGGCCTTCGGGCTACTTTAGGGCAGTGCACTCTTCGGATTTTTGTGGAAGTGAGGTTTGCGGTTTCGGGATTTCCATGCAGATCCTACTTCCACAACCCTGTATGGAAAGCTTCTTGCCGCAACCCTTCACGCAAGACTCGCAGTCAATGAGGGCCATGGAGCAACAACTCCTAAACTCACATCCATATCCCCAACATTCCCCAACCCCATGCCACCTCGAAATCCTCGAAACCTTGCACTCTTATGTACACAAACGACCCAAAACCCAAGTTTCGAGCCCTGCTCCCCCCCTTGGGCACGCAGCCTCAGGGGCTTGGGATCATCTCGCTCATCCGCAGCTTCATACGGTTCAACTCCTCCTTTTATGCGGGGATATAGTCTCGAGCGGTGGGGCTTGGGGTTGGGTCCTTTTGGCCCCTTCGGCTTTGGGGGTTAAGGCCGCAGTGTCGTGGGGTTTAGCCGGCAGAGCACTAAGTTCCAAAGGACGCTACAGAACCAGAACGTTTACAATGGTTCTGCATAGTTCTGGGCTTCGCTCTTTTAAAAGTCTTCCAGTGCAGTGCTTCTGCGAGGCGACGAATGGTGACGAGAGTGCAAGGGTGCAACGAAGATGACGAGGATGACGAAGAAGAAGATGATGATGATGATGCTGATGATGATCATGACGTGACGATCACGAAAAGGAGGAGGAGGATCACGATCATTGTTGTGATGCTGTCGTCGAGAGTCTCGCTCGCGTTTCTGGGAGAAGACCATGCTAGGACTTACTAAGATTGGGCGTATGAACATCATGGTGGGGGCACGCCGGAGGAAGAACTCTCCTCAACTGAGACTTCCTCATCCCAGAGAAATACGGGTTGTAGTTTCGGTGCTCTGAAAAGTAGTTCTGAATATATAGGTACCTTTACAGGAACCATGAAGGGAAAGTTCAAAGGTTTCCCAAAGTGCCACCTAGAATACCATCGCGTGGGGGCCCCAACTACGGCACCATTAGCTTGGTATACACGGGTAACCGTTCGTGTTCGCTGTTAGATTCAGGAACCCAAAGCCCCGGCCGAGATCAACGGCCCCAGTCACCACAGGGCGTGAGGGTATTATTGGGGGGCACGCAAAGAGCCGCTACTCATCCCAGAAGGAACCTCTGTGAAGGTCTCAGGACCCCTTAAAGCCCAACTCCAACAGCTACTGCTGGGGACCTTAACATATAATATATCATATATGAACACCATATACTATATGCCAGCACGAGTAAATTTCAAGATAAAACCCCATGATAACTATATCTAACATGATATTACAACTGGCGGGCCTCCACATAGTTCCAGAAGCGTGCGCTGTTCCGGATCAGCCATGCCTTGCTTCGGGCTTTGCAGGCTTCCGCGTCCTAGGCTTTAAGGTTTAGGGTCCAGGGTTTTGGGTTTTGGGTTTTGGGGTGTAAGGTTTGGGGCTTAAGTTAGGTGTTAAGGCATCTGGCTTAGGGAAGTTCAGAGTTTAGGATTTACAGCCTAGGGCTTAGAGTTTTGGATTTCACCAAGGTTGAGATGAGATGGTGGATGTTCGGAATTTCCAACATTGCGACGCTGGACGAAAGATTTGAAGGGACGTTTACATGTTCTATGCATGGCTGGGAGCTTTATGCCACAATGTCGTCGATTTGGTGCAAGCGCAACAGAATTCGGCTCGGTGCTGAGATGCCAGACAACACAAGCCTGAGCATGGAGCTAGTTGCACGTTTCAGCTTAGCACCCATGGCGTAAACGCCCACGGAAGAGAGAGAGGGAGAGAGACACCGGAACCCCAAACCGGAAAAAATCCTAAAACCCTAGAATGCTCAGCTCATCAAAACCCACTCTTCGCAGGATGAGGGACTGAAAATCCCCTAATTGCAGCCACACCCAGGAGAACACGACTTCTTGATTCTTGTGGATACAGATATCCTACACAATCAACCCTAACGGCCCTAACGGGTTAGGGATAGGTGTATGGGAAACTGTTCAACTAGCCACATGATCACATTGGGGATCCTACTATATATTAAGGCATCTTCATTGATTATTATTATTGTTATTGTTATTATTACTATTATTATTATTAGTAGTAGTAGTAGTAGTATTAGTATTATTACTATTATTATTATCATTATCATTATCATTATCGTTATCGTTATCATTATCATTATCATTATCATTAGTATTATCATTATAATTATCATTATCATTATCATTATCATTATCATTATCATTATCATTTTTATTATTATTATTATTAGTATTAGTATTAGTATTAGTATTAGTATTAGTATTAGTATTAGTATTAGTATTAGTATTAGTATTAGTATTAGTATTAGTATTAGTATTAGTATTAGTATTAGTATTAATATTAATAATAGTATTATTATTATTAGTATTATTATTATTACTATTATTACGATTAAGGTGTTCTGGAGTTTCTGGTCTCCCCTGAACCCAACGTCTCCAAACCAACGCGTCTTGAATTCAAGGCCTGGTCGTGGCAAAGCTTTGCCATGTCCATGGCGCGCGCGTTGCCGCGGAGCCGCAGGCAACCCATCCTGATCTTGGGCACTGGCCACCACACAGTAACGGTCTATAATAAGGGTACAAGATTCGGCTTTTACTGGGAAGGGGCAGTAAGTACCCCATGCTGATCCAAGGTCTCCGAAAGGGTTTCCGGTTCCATGCACAAGTATGGCTACGCATATAACTAGACCTGTAAGCGTGCTCATGCATACATACGTATAAGAGCGTTAAATAATTGAAATCGGCATATACGCATAACGCAGACATCTAAATGCATGCAGTGGACTGGGAACCTGGATTGGGGACACAACGGTTTAGGGTTTAGGGTCTAGGGTTTAGGGACACAGATAGACTCTCGACCTTTGAACCTTTAGTCCTGAAGCTCTCCCACTCACTAGCCCCCAAAAATCGAGCTGAAACTCCTTGAATCCCAAGAATTCCTCCTCAAGCCCTCCACTTCGATATAGTAGGGCCCTCAAACCTAAACCCCCAAGTCCTACACACAAATTTTGCATAAGCCCCTCGGCTTCAGCTCGGCTCCATCATACATACTTCCAACGCACGGCCCTAACACGTCCTGTTCTGGTGTTTCACAGAGAAACCCAGGAGATGCTGGGGGAGTTGTTACCTACCTTGAGCCCCAGGGCTGTTGCCAGTGAGCAGAGGACACCAGCTTTCAGGGATATCCCCCGAAGGCTTTTGGGTGCAGGGTTCATGGCCACCGTGAATCGGACTGGTTCCCAATCAAGCCATAACGTAAGCTCCCTCCTTGATACCTGACAACAAGTGAGCCTAGACTGAAATGGCTTGCTTCCCCACGGTAACAGAACTCTTTTATGAAAGGACCTTTACTGATTCGACGATACTTTGCAACACGGAACCTTCAACCAACGATGCATGTTTCATTTTTTGCCTTTACTAGTTCTACCATGTTTTTCAACAAGGAACCTTCAACCAACGATGCATTTTTTGCGGGTTTGGAGGTCTTTTTCAAAGCTCAGGAGCAGAAACTCTTCGATCTCGATGGCTCCCCCTGGTTCTTTCATGGCTTTATGGTCTTGGTCTTATGGACTTGTAGGCTTTAGGGTGTGGGCTTTAGGGAACTTATGGGTTTAGGGTTTCGGCTTTAGGCTTTAGGGAACTTCTGGGGGTGCAGTGTTCAGGGGCTGCTCCTTACCATCATGGCAGCTTAAGCTCTGTGGCAACGAGAACCAGCGTAGGGATTCAGGGCTTGGGGAGTTCGAGGCGGAGGCTTCGGGTATCGAGGCCCTTGGGTTTAGGAGTTAAGGCTTAAGGTTGGTTTAGGGTTTAGGGTTTAGGGTTTAGGGTTGTTTAGGGGCTTAGGGTTTTGGGTTCGGGGTTTACCGTTTGCGCAGACCTCTGTACTAAGATCCAGCTTTTCTGGGCAGACTTGTGGCTCCAAAAAATCGACTTTTCCAAGGACATAAGGACATTACAAGAAGACACCCAAAAATTAGGTTTAGGGCCTAGGGTTTGAAGATTTGGGGATTGAAGGCTTCCAGCTCAAGGATTTTAGGGCTTAGGCGGTTTAGGCCGTTTAGCTCGGAGACGAAGGCCCTCAGGCCTCTCTGCTGGGGTTTAGGAAGTCAGAACCCAAGGCTGATAAGCATGGGCTCTTCAGGATTTGAGGGTGTGGGGTTTTTGGCGGACACCCCAGACAAACGTGCGCGGCCAATTCGCATGCGGTTCCAGAGGAAAAGCGCACTTGCAGGCGCACCTCAAAGCGAAACGGTGAGTAAAAAGAGCAGACACAAGTCTGCTGTAGAAAAGCCTAAGAGACAACCCCCGTCCCGGTTTCACCGATATCCGGGTTTAAGGTTGCCCAAAAGGGCTGAGGGCCAGCAACCGCGGTTGCCGGTCTCCACGCGTAAGAACCTGACGTGGGGGCAGGCGCCTCAGGACAGATATCAGACTCGTGGTATGCGGCAAGGCAAGGCTTCGAACGGGACAAATGTTCGGTCAACCTCCGCAATGTCCAAAACTCGCGGGAGCAGCGCTGGCAGCTAGTGCCGAAGGCACTCTGCACCGCAAGGGTGCGGCACTTGTGTCGTCGCGCCAGGTGGACAGTGAGCTGCCTATATGAGGCGTAAGAGTTGCTGCACTGTGGACAGGCCCAGGGGAGTCCTGGTCCGACGGCAGCCAAGACTGTAGCTGCGTCCGGCGCCTCGCGCGCGGCGAGCAGGTTGCGGTCGAAGCTGCGTCCCTTGCGGCGTTTGTGCAAGAAAGTTCGGCACAGTCGCGAAACAAGACCGCGATCAGTGCGTAGCACCTTCCGCAAATCGTCCACATCCTCCGGCTTCCGGTTCAGTAGACCTAGGGTGAGGGCAGCCTCGACCGCACGTTCCCACCAAGAACCGGTGGAGCGAAGGCAGCGCAGCACCTGCCACAGGCCTGCGCGTGCTGCCTCTGCCAGGGTCCTTGCTCTGTGCGTGAGCAGCAGCTCTTCGGGTGTCGGCATCCCTAGGGCAGAAACAACCTCAAGGTTGGTGAAGCCAGTGCAGGACACGCCCAGAATGGGGCGAAATGCTCCGCGATATAAGCGGTAGATGGTGTCTTCAAACTTGGCCCGCTCACGTGAGGTGGCAAGGACCAGCAGTCCTGCCCCGTGCAGAAAGCAAGGGAGGATGCGAGACTTCAAGAGTCCACACTTTTCGACCTCGGTGAGAAACGGGTTTGAAAGAAGTCGCCTGCGGATGGGTCTGTAGAGGAGCATTGCCTGGCGCTCCCTGTGGAAAAGACCCGGAAGATCACTGCCATCTGCTCGGAGGACACAACCCAGGTGAATGTACTCAGGGACGAGGCGGACACACTGTTCACCCTGGGGTCCGGGGAAGCAGATGGTGGGTTGTGGCGTGCAGAGCAAGTCTCGGCGCACCTGCTGAGAGCCTTGGCCATGCACCACGACCATGGCCTCGGTTTTGCCTTCCCCGAGGTTAGCTTCAAGCCCCTGGATGTTCATGCCGTGTGTGACCCCGGCCATGATGGTGGCCACTGCGGGAGACACGTCCTCAGGCCGGGAGGTTTGAAACAAGATACAGACATCATCCGCCCAGGTCGGGGCCGACGAGTCCTCTGCATCAGCAGGTTGCCCGCAGCTGAAGGTAGCAAAGGCCTGGCATCCTTGCTCAGCCAAGGTATCCTCGATGGAATGCAGGAAGTGTTGGAAGGCGAGGCCGAAAAGAAGATCGGCAATTGGCGATCCCGGGACCGTGCCGCTTTCCGCTTGCATTACATCCGGTGAGTCTATCCTGCCTGAAAACCATGTCCCGTCTAGCTGTTTCCTCAGCAGGGTGGCGAGGACTGGCTGTTGGCGCAGGAGGTCGGGGACCGCGTGGTCACGGAGGGCGGCAATGAAGGCATCCTGTTGCCCCTGATCCGTGAAAAAGATCTTGGCCCTGTCCCGCACCCAGGCATCAGATTGAAGCTCCTGGGGGGACGCATGGAGCACTTCACGTGCGATGCTGTAGTAAGCAGCTCTGCAGTCCACGAAAATGGCTCCACCACAACCTTTGGTGTGCTGCAAGTGCTGCAGGTGCGCACGGGCGCACAAAGCCGGGAGTGAAATGGGCGCTCCGGCAACTCCACCATAATGGGTGGCGGTTTTGATGCCGACGAAAGTGCGGTGGATCATGGGTCGTAGGGCAACCTGTGCAGCCTTTGCGGTAGGTTCCAGGAGCAAGACCGACCTGAAGCCTCCGAGTGTCGTCCCGTCTTTGCCAGGTTTGGGAACGGCGGCCGCAGCTCCGCCCCTCCACTGGAACGGAAATTTGTCGCGGACGGCAGTTTTGGCCAAAACAGGCCAGACTGCCCTTGCGCTCGCCATGGGATCAACCCGGAAGACTTCAGAAGGCAGCTTAGAGATGCCGGGTGCCTTGTGAGGCTTGAGGTGTCCGAAAGCAGCCGCTAGCTGGATGACACTAGGCAGCTGCTCGCCGTCAAGAGGCTCGTGGGCGATGTCAGGCTCGGAAGCCTGCGCCAAGAGGCTTTTGATGGGAACAGGACGTGCGCGCTCTGGCTCAGCAAAAAAGCGTGCGAACTCATCCATCACATCCTCACGGCCGGCACGCTCCCCGTCGGCAGTACAAAGGACCGGAAGGAGCGGGGGGCTTCGGAATTTGCGGCCCGTCCTGAGAACAGCTCGGAGCTTGTGCGAAAATTCGCGTGGCCCCTGGTCTCGCGCATCTGCAATGGCCTTGCGGGCAAAACAAGCTCTGTCTTGTAAGATGGCCTTTGTGAGCTCGTCCCGGATCTCACGGCATTTGGTTGCATGCCATTTTTCCAAGCGAAGCTGTGTCTCCAGCTGGCGGCTTTCGCACTCCGTGGCCGGCCTGTTGCTGACCGCTGCCTGGAGGCGTGCAGTGCGCAGCTTTACAGTGCGGAGACAACGACGGGCATGCCTTTTTTGGACAACCAAAGCAATGGTGCTTTCAGTGAGCGCCGGGTTGCGCGGCTTAGGGGGCGCCGGAGGCAGTGTCTTCAAGCAGGCATGGAGGTGGCGATGGATGAGATCCAGGTGGCTCGTCGTGTCCGTACTCCATGGGATGGCAGGGAGACTTGCGAAAGCGGCTTTGACACAAGCTTGGCCATGAGGCGTGCGCAGTGCCTCGGCGCTGACCCTGGGAACGTCCGGTCTGACACTCGTGTCACAAGTGACATTTAGGCTCAAGTGCACCGGGAAATGGTCAACATCGCAGTGAAGGTCATTAAGGCACGGGGTGTCCAGTGTAACCGCAGCAGGGCGCCACGCGCGCGGAAACAGGATATAGTCCAGCAGAGCCGAGTGTCCGGAGGGACTGCGCCAGGAAGTCAGCGGGACACCAGTGTGGGAAAACTGCTGGCTGATGCCAGCCCCTGTCGCATGTGCGAAGTCTCGGAGGTGCTCACTATTCCTGGTCTGGGCCGTCGCCTCCAACGTGTCCGGGTGGGCCGGATCTTGAACAAAGCGGGCGTTGGCATCGATGCAGGTTATGAGCACAAAGCGTGGCGGGATCCTCCGGACCTGACTGTGCAAGTATTCCCACCATTCATCAATCTGCTCCGGGGAGCTCACCGCAGTCGGGGCATGCGCAACAACAATGGCTAAGTCCAGGCCGTTGACGCGAGTCAGGACAACCAGACACCGTGGCCTGGCACTCAGGATGGATATGGCCTGGCGGTCCCAGGTTAGGCCTGGTTGATTCGGGTTGATCCAGACCTGTGTGCCACCTGCGCCAGCCTCATCGCAGCTGGCACTGAGTACCCACCAGCCTTGGGAATTGCTGAAACCGGACCGCTGCTCCCGGGTCTCCTGAAACCCCGCGAAGGACACGCTGTGGGCACGGAGACCCTTGGCCATGAGCTCATGCGCAGCAACTCCCTTCAGAGAAAGGACATTATAGGTAAGGATCTGCAGTGGCAACCGACACTGTTTGGGAGGCTGAGGGTCCCCAAGGAATCCAACGGGAAGCAGTGGCGGTGGCCGCTCCCCGATACGCTGGCAAGTGTCGGCCCACGTGCCGTTGTCCTGTAGGGGAGGGAGCCCGGTACAGGCGGCCATTGTCGCACATAGCAACCACAGCCGTTCTGGTACATACTCGCGAACAGCAGCAGTGAACGCAGAGATATTCCAGGGCCATGGGTCAGCGCATCCCGATCGACCTGCCTGCTTGGCCAGCACATCAGCAAGGTCATTGAGGCCACATCCCGAATGGGCCTCGACTTTATGAAGAATGACCTGTATACCAGAGCAGTGCGCAAAATTGAGAAGCCCCAAAAGTGCTCTGGGTGCCGGGTGGGACGGGCTGTCGCCACCTGCCGACGATATCAAGTCCAGAGCGGACTGGCAGTCACTAGCAATGTGAACAATCCTCGCACCTGTGGTGCATGCAAAAGCGGCCGCGTGGATGAGGCCCTCAAGCTCGCCTTGGAAGGCGGATTCCTTGCCCACAGTGGCTAGATGCGCAGTGGCCGCGTGAAAGCCAGCTCTGCAAACTCGGGCGCCTTGGCGGACCACAACAACAATAGCCCAGGAGGCGCTGGCGTGTGGCCCATAGTAGGAGCCGTCTGTGAAAATGAAGACCTCATCGCACCGGGCCTGTGGGTCCCACAACGGAAGGGTGCACCAGGCAGCCGTAGGGGCCCGCAGGTCAGCCTCCAATGGGGACAGGTCTGTGTACAGGCCAGCAAGGTCATGTGAGCTGAGGCACTGGGCTGCTATTTCATGGTCGATGGCCCACCCTATGCACGGCTTCGGTGGTTGCACCAGGGAGTCGAGCGCAAGCACGGCAGGCGGCATGCTCCCGGTCCCCACGGGAGGGACAGCGGCAGAAGGAGTGGTTGTCGAGAAGGAGGCGGGCTGCAGGATACGACCGGCGGGGCCCTGTTGGTGCAGGGAGTTGCAGCCCGGGTCGGCCGTACGCCCGTTGGCAGCTGGTATCACACGACGGCCAAAAGGGGTGGCAACGGGCATCTTCACAGCTGCAATGGTGGCCTCCAGATCCGCAACTTGCTGTCGCACGCGGCCTGTGGGCTTGCTGTCCTGCACTGCACCTGCGTGATCCACCTCTGCAGCCTGGGTACAAGGGTTCGCCGGCGCCTTAGGTTGTGGAGGGGCCTCCTCAGCATGAGCGCCATCCCTCCTCAGCACAGCCCGCGTTTGGAGCAGGGAAAGAGACCCAATCCCACCGCCATCGTCAGTGTCTGGCTCTTCTGGGGGCTGGCCTGGTCGAGAGCTGCCAGGAGAGGGGCCAGCATCGCGCGAGCCTCTCGAACTGCTAGCGGCCGAGGCCGGCCTGGGCCTAGCACGGGGGTTGCTCGGGGAGGAGGGTCCAGGTGAGTTCTCACTCGCCGCATGAGGTTTGGATGCGGATCGGTGGGGTCGCCATCTCGGACCCGTGTTGCAACAGCCCCATCGGCGGCATGTGGTGGTGGTACCACACGCCATCCCCTAGTAGCCGGCAAAGTCAACCCTCCTAGCTCCCTGCCCCTAGGCATGGCGAAAGTAAGGAAGTCCAAGGGGTGACCCGGCGCTGGCATGATCATAGTCGCGAAAAGCGCGCCGGCCGGTATCGTGACGAAGACTGGCACCATTGACGCCATTGTGCGCGGATCCGCCAGACGAGTGCCCCTTGGCAGCAGACCGAGCTGATGCAGGTGCCACAGTGCCTCTTCAGGTTCAGGGGTTAGAGGCTGACCAATGTACACCAGCAATGGAGGGTGTTGCGCGCCTATCACATACACAGGCGTGGTATCGCCGTCTGGCACACCAAACAGCAGTCTGTGCTCAGCGAACCGCGCGTCGAAAAATCTGGCCATGGCTCCCGCAGCCTGCGCTTGCCACTCTGGATAATGCGCCGTGGTAGGGCGCGTGAGTCTGGGAAGCCGCATGGGGTGTGCAAGGAAGCGGAGCCTGTGGATCTCCCGCGTGACATGCATGGCCGGCACGGCGGTGAAGATGTCAGGGTTCGCGATGAGCTGTACGAGGTCACCTGTTGCCAAGGGTCGATGCTGTGCGGCCATCGGAACTCCGTTGACTGTAACGATCATGCCTCGGTCATGCTGCGCTGGCATGAGGACATCCCTGGGCATGGTGCCCGGGTTCACGGTCATGGCATGCAAAAGGGAGCCACAGGTGCTGGCATCATAGACGATATGCACATCGCCATCATCCGGGAAGCATAACAGAGGCACAATGGTGACCCCAGCGATGCGCGACATGGGGCAGGCAGAAACAAGCTGTAACCTGGCTCCTGGCGGAATCGTGCCTTGCAGCGCGTGAGCCTGCACCAACTCCTGCACATTTTGCTGCACATTCACCGTGGCGATGCTCTGAGGCTGAGAACGCACAGTAGCTCCACAGCCCGTTAGCACGAAGATAACCTGCGAGCCCTGGGACACGAGCGGCAACATCTCAGTAGTAGTGGAAGTTGTGTCCTGTGCCGCGAAAGGGTTATCCGGAGGTACACCCCTGAGCAGTGGATCCGCAAACAGGCGGGTGTGGTCGACCTGGAGCTGCAACCATCCAACAGTCTCCAGGTCGGCAGGCATCCGATCCCAGACGCGCCCCAAAGGATCCTGAAGGAAGAGGGCCTGTGCCTGGTCAGCCTGCAGCGCCTGGTCCGGGGGTCGTCCACAAAACTGTATGACTTCGCTGATAAGCTCGGTAGCCTCCATGCCAGGCCGAACAGCCATGCAACAGATTTTACCGCCGAGCCTGCGCAAGTCCACTGGGACCACAAGGTGGCCGATTGGTACCGCGCGGGCCGTGACAACAATCTGTGGCTCCGGCAGGTTAGCCATGGGCGGCAGCAGGACCCGGGCGGTGCGAACCGCATCGGCCACAAAATCAGCCAAGGACCAGTCATCGGCCCCCCGCCTGGTAGTGACATGATGGAGGCGCTCCATGCATGTATACTTGCAGATGCCTCCTTCAGGTTGCGTGCTGTCCGTGAGGATCTTGAGGTTCCAGAGCGGCAGCTCCGAGAGAGGGTAGCGAAGGAGGTCAATCGGCTGAACGTCCATGGCCTGGATGCGCATATGTGCGATGGCAGATGGACGCGGGGGTCTGAGCTGTCCGAGTAAGCCAGGTGGCCGTACGAGGGGCCATCTCTCACTGATGCCGGGTTGTGTGTCCCCCGCGTTCGCAGGCACTTCGGTGTCAGGAAGTGGAAGCAAACCGTCAAGGCTCGACATGGAACCGCCCTTGCAACGGCTGCTAGGAGGACCAGGCGCCGGCGTCTGTGCGCATAGTGTCGTCGTGCAAGCAGCAGGCTGCACAGACATTTGCTTGCGAGGACGAACCTCCGTGTGGCTGGTGGTGCCAACGACGGAGGACAAGGGGGAAGGTGTCGACTCGGTAGGTCGACGAAGTGCACTCCGGAGGAGGTGTGGAGGAGGGGCCGTACGAGTCTGAGGATTGAGGCGATCCTGCCCGCGAAAATGCCAGACTTGCTGGCATGTCGCAAACTGTACACCCTTGATGGAAAATGGCTGTACATGGCAAGGCGGCTCAGTGGCTGGCCTCAGATGCTGGCTCGAAGGTTCGCGAATACAGGCTCGCAGCGAGCCATCCACCTCGTCAGGACCTATCTCCTCAAGGGCCATGGGAGGAGACCAGTCCCGGAATGTGGACAGCTCGCACAACAAACCTGCATTGCACTCCCCTGCGCCATGCAACGGGTCACAGATACGCAGGAGAGGAGCCCCGGCGGCTCCAAAGTGCTCCTCGGTGTGGGCCTCCGAGCGCGGGTCCCAGAGTGTCGCCGGCATGAGCGTCCAGTCGTGCAAGACCTCGTACTGGAGCAGGAGGGCCTGTGTTTGCGCGCGGGCTGGCGACACAAACGTTGGGTCCTCGAGGACACTGTGTAAAGAGCATCGGCTGTCAGCGTGGAAGGTTGTCCACGCCGGAGACCGCCTGAGGGGGAGGCTGAACTGCCAGCCGTCTGGCCTCAGGCTTTGCCAGGGACTGAAGACTGCTTGGAGTGCTCGGAGGTGTTGCCATCTTTGACACTTTCCGATGAAGATACATCCACAGTGTTCTGTCCTCCTCGTCGGGGTGTACGCGAGTGTTCTCGGTTGCCCTGACTGAGCTCGATCTCCTGCGCCGCCTTGTCTTTGGCTTGCTTCAGCGCCTCCACCAAGTCGATCGCGGCTTGCTGGTGAGTCTTCCGCTGCTGTTCGAGTTCTTGCTGGGTAGCGATGGCGTCCATCACCCGCTGCTCCCCGACCTCGTCGGGGTCCAGGTCTTCGACCTCCATCGATCCCTTGGCTTCCTGCTTGATGCCATCTGCAGCGAGCTTGGCTAGGTTGGCCGTGGCCTCGCCAAGCTTCCCACTCCATTGCTCCTCCTGCTCGTCCAGGTCGGCGAGGGTCTGGCCTTGTGCATCGACCTGCTGCGTGACCAGAGTCGTGAGGTCGGCGATGTACTTGTGCCAGGAAGCCAGGAAACTCGTCCGAGCTTGCCGGATCCGCTGGAGCTCCCTGCGCGCTGTAGCCTGCGCTGAAACAGTGCGGTGGAGGGTCTTGGCGTGATCCTGCGTCTCCATGCGCCCCTGCTGAGCCATGATCGTCCGAACAGACTCCGGTAGGGCCTCCTGGTGGTTGCCCAGGGCCTGGAGGAGCTGCTGCAGGATCTGTCTCTCGGCACCACCATCTGTGGGGGCCGTCGTCACAGGTTCTCTGGAGGCCTCCTTCGTCGCTGCCACCGGTAGCGGAGGTGGCGCTGGAAGTCCTTGCAGAGTGGGCGCTGTGGGTACCGCCGCCGGCCCTGAACTCGGACCCGGCGCGGTAGGTTGCTGCCCTTTGCCACCGCGTCTCCTCGGCGACTTGGGCCTCCGTGGCGATGCCGGGGTTTGCCACGCTGCTCCGCCCTTCCAGGGTGGGGCCGAGGCGGCTCCCGTCCAGTAGGGCTTGGATTGCCAGTGGCTTCCACAGCCACCGCAATATTCTTGCGTGCCCTTGTTTTGGCGTCGGCATGTTCCGCATGTCCACGGCTGGGTTCGTCCCTGGTTGGGCATCGCGTCGAACCAGGTGCGGCAAAGTCTTCTTGCCTTCGCCGGTAAGGTACTTCGCGAGTGGTGTCCCTCCAGTCTGCTGCACGCCTGCTCCACAGTCGTTCGTGTAGACGTAGAGGGGTTTTCGACAAAACTGCGGAGCAACGTCCGCGCTCGCGTTCTGAACCGCCTTTCCCGGCGGTGTCTGGAGGCCTCTAGGGGCCGTCGGATGGGACGAGGAATGGTCCCAGCTCAGCAGCCAGAATAGCAGGCCAAGCCTCCAAAACCACATCCACAACCAGTGTATATACAAAACCAGTGGTACACAGACCAAAAGTAAAAAAAAACCACCTGGGTGGGCCAATCAAGGCAGCCAACCAGAAGTAGTGTCCACAATAACAGGTGGGCGTGGAAAAACCAGGCAGCCAACTGCAAAGTGGAGGAGCGGGGCACAGCCTCACCGCTCAGGTGTCGTCCACCCTCGGGATCACACGCCGAGGAGGTCAAGACAATGCTGCGCACTTGCGGTCCAGCAAAGTCCGTGGGCCCGGGGGCCACACTAGGGTAAGGCCGAGACTGGACCCTAAGGAAACTGCAGTCTAAGCCAAACGCCTGGGTGTGGGGTTTGGGGTTTAAGGCTTGTTTTATTTACCCCCACCCCCTCCCCCCCTCAGCAGCCCCAAAAAGCCCGCCTGAGTCGAGGTCGAGGAGCTTGAAAAAGGACCAAGCCTTGGATTGAGCCCCGGAACCAAAGAATTGGGGTTTGGGGTGAGGGTTCAGACTTTAGGTTTGTTTTTCTAAGGGCTCCTTTTTGGGTCCGCACGAAGTGTACCAAAAGCCTGTTTAGACTTTAGGGTTTAGACTTTAGGGTTTGGGGCTTAGGGCTTATCGGGTTCAGGGTCTGGGGTTTGGGGCTTTAGGGTTTAGGGCTTACTAGGGTTTTCGGGGGTGTAGGGCATAAAATTTAAGGCTTGCTAGGTCACTAGGTTTACGATCCAGGGCTTTACGGAGTGGGGTTGAGGGCCTTTCATAGGCTAGGGATCGTGGGTTTAGGATTGAAGAGTTTAGGGTTTAGGGTTGAAGACTTCCAGGGCTGCCGGAGGGTTTAGAGTATGGAGAACCCAATGAGTGTATAGGTCTTCGGACTCAGAACTGAAAGCAGGCGCTAGCACCCAGCAGGGGGCTCAAAACTTACATGCTAAGTGGGTTGCTAAGCTCAAACCCTAAGCCCTAAACCCTAAACCCTAAATACCCTAAGCCCTAAACTTCAACCTCCAACCCTTTGCAAAACTTCAAACGGCCCACGAAGAACGTCGGGAGATAGAAGGTTCCGGAGCTTACGGGCTAAAGCTCAAGCTTGGGGTTTGGCAGATCCGGGGCCTTGGGGTAGAGTAGAAGCCAGAAAGTTGGAATATCATTATCCTAAGCCCTTTATGGTAAATTATAGGGTATCCTACCCTGAAACCATATTCCAACTGTCTGGAGTTCCCTTTAGAGAGGTTTAGGGTTCAGGGGTTGGGGGGTTTAGGGCTCTGGGGGGGGGGGGGCTTTCTGGGTTAGGCTTCCCCCCGCAAGACATCCTGACACAGAAACCCCCCTAAGGAACAGGAGCTTCATCATTAGAACACGTTTTCGGTGTATTTGTTGCACGCTCATAAGATGGGACCCTGAGACATCGTATTACTAATGATTCAAGCTTCTACGAGAAACCCTGGACCGAGAGGCGTCCCAGATGTCGAGGTCGATGGACTCGAAGTAAGTGAGGACTTCCCGGGAGGAAATTTTGTCTTGAAACATCCTCAGTGCTTTGAGGATGCAAGAACCATGTTTTGTATGTCGTGATGTTTAAACAACCTCAAACCCCAAGAGCCGAAACCGACACACGAACCCCTTGCCGTGGACAACTTGCCATCAGCCCTTAGCCCGAACCGCGAACCCCTCGTCCTCAACCCCAATCTACGGACGACTTTACGGCTCACATTTTCGGAGTGAAAGGGGGCCGATAGGGCGGTATTCCTGGATCCGTGTTTGCGAGCGCAAGCCTGTTGAAGCCTATGCGCCTCGCAGCAGTGCCTCGTAGGCCTCTTCGAAAACATGCTCATTCGAATGCCTTTAATCTCTAAGCCGTGAACTTTACCCTAAACCCCAAACACCCGGGGTTGGGATTTAGGAAGCTTGTAGACATCTGAGAAAGCGTTTATTTGAGATTTATCTCCAGAGTGTCACTCTTCCCCAACCTTTAAAGTGCGTATAGGGGCCTTCACAGTTAGATCATGGCTTTGGAAACTTTTTGTAAACAAAACTACAGGGACTACAACTGGATGCTATTGGCAACTCCTCCGACCCCTTGTCTTTAAGCGTTTAATGCTGCGGGTGTATCTGGTGCCTCAGGACTCAACAGGGTCCAAGGTTGCCGGCAGTCTATTGCGAAGCACCATCCTGAAGTTGGATATCGGGTTCAGGGCTTAGGTTGACTGAAACAACAGACTCCGAAACCTACACCATACACCATACACCTCTGTAACTCCTTCATTCTAAGGCGGGTTTTGCACCAAAGTATCTGAAAGGTGATCACGCCGGAGTCTTCCTGATCGATCTCGCTGAACCTGCCATGTTAAAACCAAGGGGGTTGCAGGCAACGGCTCGGGGTTTGAGGTTTCCGAGATGTGACCATCAGTTTCGCCGCCTTTGCCGACCTGTGTGTGCATGTGCCGTTCAACTTGATAGCTGCATGTTAGTGGTTTCTGCTAGGCCGTCATCTCCCGATTTTTATGTCTGTTTTGAGGCAACGTCTCAATTGATCTACGAAAACGTACCATAACGAAATGTGTGCGGAATCTCTCGACGTCCTGTAATATACTGCACTCGAAGACCCTGCAGAAAAGTAGGTTCCAGAGTGTACCGTGTATAGTTCTGATGCTCTGCCGTCGTCGTCCCATCAGTCCATTGACCTAACTGTTCTTCTAACTAGTGGGTTCTCGGCATTAGCGCCCTGTTTGGGTCCCCCAAAACCATACCAGTCTGATGTCAGCAAGTTCAACACGGACCCTTGGTACGGTCAGGCAACCACCCGTGTGGCCTAGACAGACTACAGCAGCGCTGTTGTCAGACATGCATCGTCGGTTCAATGTTGAGGGCACCCGCCGATGTCAAGCTGCGGCGCGAACTCTCAAACTCCCCGGTTAGGAGTGGGCCTTGGGATTAACTAGGGAGTTTAGAGGTTGCGGCATGCCTCCAGCCACAAGAATGCCATACCTCAATCCCAAATAACGACCCGCCAAGCAGCAGATATCGGATCTTCTCGATGTGGGCCTTGCCCACATGTCCGTTGCTTTTGAGGTGTCAGGCTTCTGGGCTTCGGCTTCCACGTCTGGGAGGTGAAGCCATGGGAGTCAGGGACCACTGTTAAATTTACGAGGCCTTGGTTTAAGTGGCTTCGGGTTTGACATAGGGCTCCCGTAGTCAGACAGGATACACATGCTCACGTACGTTTGGCAGTCACAAACTACGCCAAACATAAGCCCTCAAACCTATTGAAGGGTCCTGGACTTCCTGCCATAATTGCACCAAGAACCCTAACGAATGATGGTTATTGGAGCTTCTGTATTACGTCTCACCTTCGCTTTGACCATCTGCTGACAGCGTGCTCTCCAAACCCAAAGTTTTCAAAGGCACAGTGCAACACGCTAAACCCTTAACCCTAAACCCTTTTTCCTAAAACCGTTCCCAGCAACCCCACAACCCTAAACCTTCAAGGTGCTCTGGGTTTACGCCACCGCAACTCGGACTGAGCCAGTTGAGGTCTCTTGGATCGGATCAGCACTGGAGGAAGGGAGGTTGGGTAAGTGTCCTCCCGAGTCACAGGACGAGAAATTAATCAAATTCGGGGGCTTTGGATTTCGGGTTAGGGTTGGATGCTCGATCCGAGTGGCTTTCTATACTGGACGCTCACTGGACTTAATTGGGAACTTCAGGGAAACACGCACGCAAACACGCATGCACGAAATAATCAGGCCCTATGTTAAGCCTAGCTGTTTCGGTCGGGTTCAGCTGAGGCAAACTCAGGGGGAGGACTTCAAAACGAAGCCGTCGAATCCCGAGCCTGCAAACACTGCTTGACAATAGCCGTAGTCAGCACAAAATATTTGTTGGGCTAACATCATCCTACTTGCTAGCGAATGCTCAAAACCGCAAACACTAAACCCTTTTGCTACTGGGCTTGAGGACTAGCCAGATCCGCTCGACCTCTGTCATCACATGCACATGGCACCGTCAGTGAGCCCGCAGTGCAAACCGTGCAAACCCTAAACCCCAACCCTAACCCCTTAACCCTACAAGTTATTTATGACCAACCGACGTGGTCCCCCGATCCCTCGAAGGAGGCCAGGCCTGCTTGTTTGCAAGGATGGACTGCAAGACCATGTCATGGTCGCTTTGGGCACTGTCTATGGCACTCCTGGGATAGGATTTAGGGTTTCGACGCTCACACTCGCACAAGGTAGGCAAGGCTCCACAAAGAGTTTAGGGTTTCGGGTTTAGGGTTTAGGGTTTCGGGTTGAGGGTTTAGGAGGTTTACGGGTTTAGGGTTTAGGGGTTTTAGTCTAGGGGCATGCGAATCTCCAGCGAGTGAGGCATGATGTGACGTATTGTCAAATCATGTAATGTAGTGTGATGTGATGTAGTCGACATACGTGTGCAATGTAGTGGAACTGGTATGACTGGAATGCAGTGGGGGTAAAGTAGTAGGTTATGTAACGCATGTATGTCGCTTAGCTTTAAGTCTTGCGGCGGAAGTATGTACATAATTACTCACTGTTGCAAACATGTTTGGCGGTGGTTGTTGAAGTTTTTCTTGATACCCTCAAACCCCTCAATCCAATGCGCTAAGACTTGAAGATACTAGGAGTTGCTGCGGCCCCCTTCTTGGGAGTCTCGCCATATAGGCACACTGAGGGATACAGGCTTAGGGCTCAGCGCGATAACTGTGGCTTGAGCCCTTTACCTCACACCTGTTTCTTGCATCCAGCCTGCTGCTCACAGCAGCGCTTCAAGCTTCCGAAAACCTTGAACCCTCCATGCACCCTAAACCCTTGAACCCTAAATTCTTGAATCCATTAGCTACATACTAGGCCTCAAATGTCAAAGCCCCTAAAAGACAAATCCCGAAACGAAAAATGCGACTCCAGCTGCAGGAGGCAGAATCCTGGAATCCATAATGGTTGAGGAGCCCCATACTCCCATAGTTGAGGATACATGACTCCCCTCCTTTGGTATGCCACAATTCTCATGGCTTGCATAGTACAGAGTCCTGTGAGGGTAGTGCAAGATTTGCCCATTCAATACCTCGAGTTCTCATCGAAGCACTCACGCCTTGGAACCTTGCGAACTCCAAAGCAAGCCCACAAACCTGAAACCCGTAAAGTCGCAAAAGGCTTATGCATGGTCTTCTTGAGGGCTCGTGGCTGCCAAGATGCTGACAAAAAACACCAGTGACCACCTCGGCAATCATTTCTGTGCTCATACAAGAAAGGACTGTTGCCACGACGTCAAGTTTGCATGGACGGCGTGATCCTTTCAGGTGTCGGGCTTCACTTCAAGCCTGTAGGTGTGGGAATTGAAACGTACATTGAAGAATGCATCTGGTGGGGGCATACTATTGCTACACTGTGGTTCCCAAGCACACTCGCCCAATGATATCGATGACGGCCACTGGCACAAAGCACCATCGTAATCATCATCCAAAGTGCCACAATCACCAACCTGCTCATGCTGACGTTTGGCCGTGGCCGTAGTTGGGGTGGTGGCTTTAGCAGTGGGGGGTCCGGTGGTGAGAAATGCCTGCACACTTCCAGCAAACATGCGAATGTCTTGAATCCATTGTAAAATGCATGCATCCCTCAATACACTGCATGCTGGAACCCCGCAGATGCAAGGACGAAACCCAGCAGCTGGGTCCGAAACGACAAGAAGACGTGCAACCAAGGCACATTAAGCACAGCGAAATACGTGAAAGATACCTCGGAAAGATGATGTGCTTGAGCAAACACACGGCAGTTGAACATGCCTCTTGCGCCCAATGTGAAAATCCCTCACTCCCGAAAAAGTTAAACCGAAAAACCGTGCTCGCTGCAAAAGGACTTGTGGTTGCTTGAGTCGGTCCGCCTCTTAGGCTGGATAAGCCCCAAACAAAGTAGGAGGAATTGCTAGCAAAGCAGGGTTTGGGGTGCGGCATGATGCTGCTACAGATCGGACTTCAGAAAAGATGTCCTCTGTAATGTCAGGACCCTGATTAGGACTTATGGTTTACGGATTAAGGTTTCGACGCTCACACTCGCACACGGCAGGCAAGGCTCCACATAGTCCACAGTATCTCCACCACATGTTGCAGCACACAACAAGCATGATGTATTACTGGAACAAGCATGATACAAACCAATAATTACACCATTCCCTGACGACGGGAGCTACAAGGGCCCATCTACTCACAGTCATCACCATCAGGCCTGCTGGTCTAGGATCAACGATCCACTATTTCAAAAGGATTCCACAAAGGCCGATAGCGACTATCACTCAGGCCACACTCAGTGCTCCGCAACCCGATTCTCGAATTCTTGCATCTTGAATTCTGCCAACTCCTCTCACTCCACCTTCACCCGCTCGCTGAATGTACCATGCAAAGATTCCAGAATTTGCAGCGGGAACATGCAGAGTATGAAGTCAATCCATTGCTGACAGGTCATGCAATGTTGACATGCTTGCACCTGGAAAGCCTGAAAGCCAGGCAATGCCTCAGACGCAACCATCTTCAAGTCAACCTAACTCATGAATTCCTGGAATCATGCACCGCAGACTTGATGAGTTCATGATTTCGTGAGTTCAAACAGGCGAGCCAGCATCTGCAGAAGTGGCAAGAACCTAGACTCCCCCCCTCCTCCCCTTCCCCCCCCCCCCCACCCCCCGCCTCCCCCCCCTCCCCACCCCCCCCCCACTTCCCCCAACAGCTTTTGCTTAGCCCTGGCAAACAGGAAAGCGGTTGCTTGCAAAGTTTGTTATGCGGGCTTCGGGTTCGTATGGTTCAGCGCCCAGGTTCTCAGTTTCTATTTCAAGGCTTTCGTGGGCTGTGCAATCCTTTATCCGGCGGGTTGAATCGGTCTTTTGGCTGCTTCAGTGAAGCTTTAAAGTCTGGAAGAAGTAGCCCACAAGAGAAAATAGGGCCCAAGAATATCTAGCTTTATGACGGGGATAACCCTTTAGAAGCACAAAAGCAGGATTTATTTTATTTACGGTTTGGATACACATATTGACACGATTGATGGATACACACCCAAACGAGATAGGATTGAGAGGTATGGGTTTCAATACGATTTGGATACACTTGAAACAGTCGTGTCAGTAGTGCAATGCACCGATACGCATGTCAAGACGTTCTGGCATTGGCCTTGGTTGACCTGAATGGCCTCAGACTTGCCCGACCGTTCCTGCACTTTCGCTTGTTGATGGCTTCGCACGTACAGTCGTACAGTGTACTGTACAGGCAGGGCTCGGCAAAGCCTGAGAGGATTGAGAGGAGTGGAAGCTCACATTTCGCTATCTCGCATGGCTATAGTGCCGCACGGTGGGGTGGGGCTGGGCTGGGGGGGTGGGTGGGGTGGGGTGGGGTGGGGTGGGGTGGGGTGGGGTGGGGTGGGGTGGGGGGGTGGGGTGGGGTGGGGTGGGGTGGGGTGGGGTGGGGTGGGGTGGGGTGGGGTGGGGTGGGGTGGGGTGGGCAGGGTGGGGCGGTGGGGCAGGGCGCGGGGAGTGCCTCCCACAAAGTGTATCGGGTCAGCCGGGCAATCCCGAAATCGTATCGAAAATCGTATCGCCAAATCGTATCGGCTGGAACCCTCCTTTAGTCTATTTGTAGTCTTCCAGCGATACGATTTTCGATACGATTTGGGGGTTCCCTCCTTTGGACCGATACGGTTTCCGATACGACTCTGGAGCACCCTCCGCCAGACCGATACGATTTTCGATACGACTCCGGCACACCATCCGCCAAACCGATACGATGACACCCTCGCCGGACCGATACGATTTCTGATACGACTCCTGCGCAACCCCGCTCCACCAGTACGACAGCCGACCCTGCGACTAAGCAGCCGGAGCAGGCTTGTCTGCCACTGCAGAGTTGAAACGTCTTGGACTAAACCCACTAGCTGCTGACTAGGTGACTAGCTTGACCAAGCTCAGACCCCAGACTTTGGAGTCGCTGAACTGTGCTGCGCTTGCCCGACCTACTACACGCAAGATCTGGGAGCCGCCAAGAGAATGCGTATGGGAAAGCGTTCACTGCCACTGCGCACCAACAAAAGGCACCCAAATGTGGATCCATGTATTCAAACCGAAAAACGTATCTGCCGATGGTATCGACTCAGCCGGTGTATCTACCGATTGTATTGAAATCGTATCGGAAACTGTAACGAAAAAATATTCATGTATGTGTCTGTTGTCTACACTTATTACATCTTAAATCTAGCTATTTGACCCAAAGCGTGCTTCACGTTCAAAGGCTGAGGTTTCCAACGTGGAGGCAGATCGTCTGGAACATGAGCCTTTTTTGGCCAGCTGGGAGTGTGAATCATGGTAGCGGCAGCCTGTACAGGGTGGAAAGAGAGTTGATGGGTTTGGGCCAGCGTATAGCTCGGGCCTCTGCAATCAACCCATCAACATCCCCGGCGGCCAGCAGAGGCCAGAACCCGGTGCTGCAACAGGCACGCCACCTCTCGGCAGACCGTGCGTACACTTGTGGGAGAACACTCGATGTGAAGATTGCGGGCTTTGCGTAGCTCCACGCCGATAAGTTCGGCAGCTTCTGAACTCATCTTCAACTCCGAATAGGGCAAGATAATCTTACCAAGAACCATGGGCGGCGACAACAAGTTTCGGCCTTCCCATGGCTTACTGCCTTTCAAGCTGAGAGTTGGAGCTAGGAGCTCTTTCGCGTAGGACGAAAAGCGCTCACTGGCCTTGCTCAGCCCTGCTTGAATCAGGCATTCTCGTCCAAGCGACGACACGGCCTCCAACACACTCACTGACTCTCACTCTCTCTCACTCGCTCTCTCTCTCTCTCTCTCTCTCTCTCGCTGGCTCGCTCTTTCTTGCAAGTTCGACCAGTCCTGGGCATCGTATTTTTTGGGAGCATCGTAGGCCGCGTGGGCTATACTCCCGAGCTGGAAAGCATGACGCATCCTGTTTCAAGGTCAAGCCACAGTGCCCCCTCTCTCTCTCTCTCTGTCTCTGTCTCTGTCTCTCTCTCTCTCTCTCTCTCTCTCTCCGTTTAACTGGGTGTGCCCAGTAACCCTGTTTTTAGCGCAGCCCTTGGGTGGGTGGGTGGGCTTCCCCCCCCTTGGCTCGAGTTTAAAAAGGAAGGAGTGCACTGCTTGTCGCTTGAGTCGTTTAGTGTTCGCTTAAGGTTTCGAAGTTTGGGCATTCCCTGTTTGATAGGCTCTTTGATGGTGGTCCTAAAACCAAAAACCGTTGTGTTTTGATGCTGGTCCTAAAACCAAAACCGTTGTGTTTGCTTGAGAAATGGAATAATTTCTTTGGGAATTCGTGGACATGTCAGATAAAGGCTTCGCCTTTCCCTGCTTCCCTTGCACAGTTGTGTGGGCATAGCGTTAACAGGTCTCTCTCGCTCTCTCTCTCTCTCTCTCTCTCTCTCTCTCTCTCCGTGACAAGAACTCTATACCAGGCTCTGCAGCCAAAAAAGATCTGTCCTGCGCCGCATCGAGCGGGCGACATGGGACCTCGCAAATCCTCACAGAAAGGAGAAGTTAGAAAGTTTCTAAGGATTGATGTGAAGTTCCCGCAATAAGCACGGCTGCAGTGCCTTATTCGTCGCACGGCAAATCTAAGGTTTTACCGCGGTAAACTATATATGATTGTCATAAACCTACACCTGTTTCTTGCCCAAAGAGCCAGAACGCTTGAGCCAAAATGGCTGTTCAGGGTTTAGCGTTTTTGGGTTAAGAGTTTAGCGGTTTAGGGTGTAGGGCCGGTGTAAGGTAGAATAGGGTTCCAGCGCTCCACTCGGGAAAGCCACGCGAGGTTCTGGTGTTTCGCCGGCTGGGGGGTGAAACTTATGCAAGCTTCTTCGACTCTTATTACAGGGTTTTTCCTTAGAGTTTAGTTGAAATAGTAGACCGTGACAGTTGGAGTAGGGTTTTGGTGTGTATAGAAAAGTCGCATCGCAACATGGGGCCAGAAGGTTGGTGATATCCGCAGTGTGAGTGCGCAGGGACATCTAGGGCGCTGAGCTGGCTCCCAAAGACTTCAACACCCCATACTTGAGGCAGATGCCTCAAGTGATGATTTGGGGATTCTTACGGTGATTTCTGGTATACTCCGTTATGACCTACATATAGAAAGGTTTTGGGGCCTCGGGATATTCAGACTGCTGCGTTACACAATTCAATGCCTAGCCAAGGCCTGGCAGAAAGCTCGGGGGCTCATGCGAACCAGCCGGGACACGTACGTCAGAAAGATCACCACCCAAACGACGGAGATGGCTCGCAGAGGCAGAACTACCTGACAGGCCACTGAGACCTAGCAAAACCGAAAATGAAGCAAGTCTGATTACGAGAACTTGCTTGCACCAACCCGAACATACAACGCGCAGACACGCACACAGCCACCTTCGCTTGGGGGGGGCCCTTCGGCAAGCCCTGCGGTTGCAAGATCCAGGTTTGAATGTCGGGGCTCATGCTCTGGGACTTGTGCTTAAAGTTATCCGGGTCGAATACGGACGCAATAATTTGACGATTACCACTGCTACTGTCCGTACTGTGCGTATAGTGAAGTGCAACCCAAAACCTTATTCTAATGATTAAGGCCCCTATATTTGTTCGGATACCATTCCTAGAGAAGAAGCCTCTTCCCAGCTCACTCCACCGGCGATGCTCATGAACAGGCTGAGCATCGTTTGCCTTAGCTCATCTCGCCTCTTCTGAAGTCTCGGGGTCAAAGGTCCATGGTTTAGATAGGTCCGATAGGTGAGCACTAGCTGGACCTCAAAGGAAAGTTTGCCAGCAAAGACCCTTGATTACAAGCTCATATAGGCATCGGAATAGTGAGCATATACTCCCCCCTTAAATCCCTGTAGAGCTCCACTAAACATCTACCCAAAAAAACCCTCATTCAGACCCCTTTACTGCACTGTTTGCAATATTCTGACACCCAAACAATACAACAAGGCCCCTTGATTCATTTCCATCCGAACAGGATGGCTGCTCCCGAACCTGTAGCCCGCACAGGTTGGATCGACACAAAGCCGATCAAACCTGCGCGCACCTTCCACAACACATGTACAAACAACACATGTACAAACATCCTTGGTTTTAGGGCTTAGGGGTTTTTGATGACGCTCACACTGGGGTACAGGAGAGCGGCATTACCCACTCCCAGCGCCGTCATATGCTGATCCATCGTAAGCCACCAGCAGCTTAGGGGCTGAGGGTTTAGGACCTTTGTGAGTCTTACTCGCAGAAACCCCAAAGCCGCTAACCCAAACCGCCTGCACTTGAATAATGAGACTCTGAATCCTCCTGGCCACGGTAGGTCATCGAAGTATCTTCTGGCCGCAGCCACTTCCTTCGGCTTCTTCTGGCGGGGGTGGAACACTTCGTATGTAATGTGCCTCTTATAGCTTATAACCCTTGCAATGGTTCTACCAAAGAACACCCCAGAACCCGATGGTATCTTCGGATTTTAGGTTCAGGGTCTGGGGTTCCGGCTCTCATAGCTGAGCATCGCGGGTTTGGGGCAGATGTGGCCTCACAAAGAGGCCCGAAGCCGACACCCTAATGCCAACCTCGGACCCTACACCCTCTACCTTAGAAGCTGCCCCAACCCTGTATTAGTGGTATAATGGGAATATAATAGGGCCCTACTATATAATCCTTATAGTCACTATTACAGGGTGGGGGGGGCAGCTTCTAACTTCTACCCCTTTACTGCTACTGGACTCAAGTCTAGCCAGACCTCGATCTGCAATCATCTTCACACCTTCAGGCCTATCTGTTCATCCCTCAACACCCAATCCCTAAAGTTTAGGGGTTTAGGGTTTAGGGCCTAAACCCTATGAATCTGCTGCGCTGACCCCTTATACCCCTGATCCCCCGTCTTTTGCAGCTGGGACTCGCTGCCAGGATGACAGCCCTTACCCGAAACCCTGCTAGCAGCCTACACTGTAAAGCCTGCAACCCCAAAACCCTGAAACCCTTTCAGCCCGAGACCCTGACTCCGAAACCGACGGAGTAATTTGACCCTGAGCCAAAAGCCCCCCCCATAACAACCCTAAACCCAAACGTAACCCTAAACCCCCGAATCCGAAGCCGGATCCCTCCTCGTCGGTCAGTGGGCGAACATCTGTGTCCATCAGATGGTCATTCACTGCCTGCTTCACGGTTCAGGGCTTGAGGGTTGAGGGGTTCAGGCTTCAGGGGTTTCGGGGTTTGGGGGTTAAGGCTTTAGGGGATTAAGGTTTAGGGGTTTAGGCTTTAGGGGTTTAGCGTCTGGGTTTAGGCTTTTGGGGTTTAGGGTTTAATTTCATCAAGAGGCAGAACCTTACGGCTCACGGTTTGGCCAAGAATTTGGGATTTCCGGTGCAGGGCTTAGCACCCTGCCTGGTCACAACCAAAAATCAAGAACAACGGTCTATTCGCCATGCGGCCCCATATCTTCAATAATAACAATGTGTAAACATGTCTGGAGCATCTACAAGCTTTATAAGAACCGAACCGAAACGCAGGAAGACCCTTCCACAGCCTCATCTGCGACCTCTAACCCCAACCCTGAAGTGTACCTCTTACGTCACAAACCTCCCATACCTGCGAACCTTTCACCCCAAGCCTTTCGCGACCAGCACACAAGCTTTAACCTAGGAACTTAGTGCATGATCAACATCGACATCATGATGGTCATCGCAAGGCCTTCCGAAGATCTTTGAATGAGACGCAAGGCGGCACACTTCGACTCTCCGGGCCCTTGAAACTCTGATGGCACATCAGAATTAGCATGGAACTGACACAGAGTATCACGTGCAAAGTCTACAGTTGTTTTTGGGGTCTAGGGTTGCACCATTTGCGCTGGGAACATGATAGGTTGAACCCTGGCGATGACAACAGCACCAGCATTCACAATAGCAAACGTGGAACGCTAAACCCTATACCCAGAACACTAAACTCACAACCCAAAACTTCAAACCCAAAAGCCAAAAACCCTAAACCAAAACTCAGAAATCTGACGAAGGCTTCCTCCCTGACATCCGGCCCCGGTCCTGGGCAAACAAGATGCCGAAGACGTAAACCTGCAGGCGGAATGAGAGCAGCGGTAACAACAACAAAAAAGAAATAAACACGACCACGGCCGTGACAAAAAAAAGACGGCACCAGCAGCAAGAAAAAGAAGAACTACACGCCAGGCCAGTGCAAAACTGTGGGACAAATACAACGACAGCAATCATGGCAAGCCATAGGTGCGTCAAACCCGAAACCATCAGCCCCGAATCCCATGTTGTCAGGGGCCGCATAAGGATTATGGTTTAAGGCATACTTGAGTTTTTTTGAAAAGGAACCCTAAGGATGAGGCCCCTACAGTACCTTTTTCTGCTGCAATACTCCTTAGACATATCGGTGTCTTCTTCAGTCTCCGAAAAAACCTTGGCATGAGCAACCAACAGCAGCCCTCCCTGCCAAAAGCGCCCAGGGACAATCAGGACGAGAAGAATCATCGCCTTGAGCCACTTTGATGCTTGCTTTGGATAGGCCACTTGACATGATGTGTTGGGATCCAGGCTTGCAGGGGTTTGGTCTCAGATTTGCTTTTGAGTCCTGCGCTTGCGTTGTAAGATCACACACGGGTCCAGTCGGAGGTTGCAGCGACGGCAATGTGGACGCTCCGCACCACTGCCTGAACGTGCTAGTGATTCTGCTGTTACGGAGCACTTGCTACTTACGGCCCCAGTTTGCTCGTGACCATGACTGGCACTTTCTGCTCGTGAATGCCCTCAGCAGTCAATGCCGGGTTTTATCGTAACCCTTGTAGTCACCCGTGTAGTAACCTTTGTCATATTCCTTACAAAAACCCTCGCGTAGGGCCTCACAGACCCCGTTCTCTACCTGAGACGATCGCAGCCAGGGTGTAAAGCCCTCGACAAAGGGGTTTCCGGGGTTGCGACAGGGCCCCTGAAACCAAACACGCAAGTCAGTCCAAATCTAAAGCCATTTGCATCGTTTCGGGTTCGAAGTTTTCGAGCTTGGGATCCGCACACAAGGTCCCACCCAAGCTGAAACACTGAACGCTTATCACCGTTGCAGCTTGTGCAGCCAGGGCGCCCAGATCAGCGACTTCCTCAATTAAGCGTTAGGCTGCCAAAGTTCACGGATTTCGGCGATTCGAACTTGAGAGCATACCGCTGGAACCCTAGACCCAATAAAGCTTCCATGCAAACCCCAAAACAAGACTTCAGCGAAAGCACGAGCCAAAGCTGCCATCTCGATCTGGAACCCCCCAGCCCCGACCTCAACCCTCGGAGCCTCTGGGCTTCGGGATGTTGGTTCCTAAACCCTGAACCCATATGGGTGGTTGTCGAAATTAGGGTCTCGTTTTTGGGTTCCGATTCCAATACGGCACCAAATATTTACCCATAAACGAGACCATAATTTTAATAACCACCCATATAGGCAAGCTTTCAGTCGGACGGCAGGGTGTAGATGATCGACTGCGTCAGCGTCCGGAGGGCCATGATGACGCGCAGCACGCGGGTCTCGGAGGCCGTGGAGCCGTAGACAAAATACAGTCTAGCGTTAGAGTGATATCCCTTGCGCAGTTACGGTCTAGACTAAAGCATTTAGGCTTTCCGTAGGGGTTTACTGTGTATGTTTAAGTTTTCGGTTTGGGCTTAAGGGCTTGGGGCTGAGGTGTGGGATTTCGAAAGCATGGTCCTCGATTGAACTGCCCGCTAGGGCCTTGAGAGGTTCTCTTTGTTTTTGTTTTAGGGTTTTGGGGCTTTGAGGGATGCGAGCTCCGAGAATCATGCTGCCGTTGAAGCGCTGTGCCGGGCTTGCAGCAAGGATTCTGGGCTCACGAGGATTAGGCTACGGTATACTGTATACTACTGCGCGGTCAGGGTTTAATTATGGGGCCTAGAGATTCGGGCTCGAGGATTCAAGGCATCAGGGCTTGAAGCGAGCTTTCGAAATGGAAGATGACCTACCAAAGGTCCTTTCAGCAAGGACCGGGCTTCTGCGCTTCATCCTGGGGCACGTAAGCTTCGGGGAAAATCTGGGACCTGCGTAATACGATATAACATAATAGCTTAAGCTCTACTCTACAACGATATGCCTCGGTGATACTATAGTATGCTATACTACGCTGTGACATACATACTGCAGGACCAAGTAAAGTAAGATAATCTTTCTTATCTTAACTAATGACACTGCAACACGCCACTTGTTGGGCCGCGGGCGATACGGGCGATCTTCACTAGCCGAGTGATGCGGACGATACGCAGAGTACCTTGGGTTGGGTTGTTTTAGTATTGGATATTACTTGGGCCCCTATACTACGGTTTATGGCATTAGGGTTCAAAGTCGAAGGCTTCACAGACTTCGGGCTTTCAACTTTGTGCTGAAATCCAGGCGATCCACTATGTCAACCCTGCGCCCCAGACCGCACACCCGAAAACGATCGAGGGTTTGGGGTGGGAGTTAGGGGTGGGGCTTGGAGTTTAGGAGTTTACAGTAGGGTTTGGGGTTTGGGCGTTTGGATACTCGTACTCACGTGGGATGCAGTGGCTGCGCAACAATGAGATCGTCTAAGCTCCTACATGCATGTTCCCTAGGACGCAGAGGCCCCAAAACCATGGAAGTTTTGGGGCCTTGGGGCGTGGTGACTGCAGCCCCGAGCACCCCGGTCACTGAACCAACTACGGTTTGGGGTAGGTTCAGGATGTTGCGTATGAGGATCAGGGGTTGGGGCAGGATCTTGCATGCAGAGGGTTTAGGATTTAGGAATGGATCGGCCGCGGCCCCCTGAACCCTATGGCTGTGATGCGAAACTCTGACTACCCAAACCCCCTCAACTCGCACGGCAGTCAGAACACGCCGTAAACTTCGCAAACCCTAACCTCCACACCCTTGGCCGTAAACGCCTTAAACCCAACACAAGCACCCTTGGGCATCCGACAGATAACGCCCGAAACCCAACTGCAGTGCGCTCCGGGGGACGAAGTCCCGTCATCCCGCTCACGGGGTCTAGGCCTCCTGGAGCTCTTTTTTGGGGGGCTTCGGGTTCAGAAAGGGATTCTTTTTTAAGGGCTCTCTATAGGATACTTCTTTTAAGGGCTCTCTATAGGACCTATAGGATACTTCTTTTAAGGGCTCTCTATAGGATACTCGAAGGGCTTCAAGTGCTTCAGGATTTGGCATTTTTGTGTTGTCAGGGTTTCTGGGTTTGGGTTGATGGGTTTGGGTTCACGGTTATGGGGCTTCGTGCTTTGCGGGTTCGAACCCTCGAAGCTAGCCATGTTCATGGTCCGAATGGAGGGGTTAGGTGGGTTTTGCTGTATGTAGACTGAAACAGCTGAATGAAACCTGCGGGGCTCTTCAACCTCCCGGACCCGTCCGTGATGCTGTGCGCTCTTTTGAACCTAGACCGCCCCCAAACCCCCACTGGCGGCCTCCGCTGCCGGGTCCCTGCATATAGATGCTGAGCTCGATGAATGTCTCCTGTTGGGTGTGGGATTTACGATGCAAAGCAAAAACACAGACGGGATGGGAAAGCATGAACGCTCTTCTTTGAAACCAAGCTCGAGAAATCATTAAGCTCCGATACTGTTAGGTGATGACCGGTACAAAGCACAAAAACAGCTGTAGTTCCAGGGTGCGAGATTCCTACAAATACCAAGATCCCTGAAGATGATGAGATGCTGCACACCTCGGGTATCTTTCGCAATCGGTTATGAACAAGCTCGAACAGTGACAGCACCGCCTTTCCTGGAAGTCTACTCTCGCTCCTACTAGGAAGCGAACCGCTGCACAAACCCATTGCAACAATAACCGAAACGCTACACGGATGTTGACTCTGGCAGCAGCGACAACCATGGCAAAAAAAATCGCAACTCCAAAGCGGCACATGGCATAACGACAGAAAAGCAAAAATGTAGTCCAGGACCAACTCCCAAAAGCCTAAGCCCTAAATCCAAACCCCTACATCTTGAACCTCAAAGCCATACAGCCTTAACCACGCAAACCTACTTTCTTTAGCACTCGCGCTCGAGGAGCCAAAACCTGCTTAAACCGTTTTGCCGCAAGCACTAAACCCCCTAGGCCCATAGACCCCTTACAGCATCCCTTATGAAAACCCTTATGGGTAGTTGTCAAAATTAGGGTTCCTGTATGGATACCCTTAAATATTAGTTGCCGCATTATATTAGGGACGGACCATAATTTTGAGAACCACCCTTATCATAGCCCTTAGAGCAACACTTTACAAGGAACCCCAAACTCTGAGGGTCAAGGCACCCACCACGAGCTGAGCCTCGGCTCTGCGAGAAAAATTCGGGGTGGCTTTCGGCCTAGGGGGGCTATTTTGGGGTCCTGATAGTAAAGATCCTAGGGGTAGTCCAGGTGTACAAAAAGGGTTTAGGGGTGTGGGGCTATGCAAAGTCTAGGTTTTGGGGTGGAAGGGTTTGAAAAAAAATTTTGAGGGCATGTTTGCCGCCTGCATGGACCATCCCAGCTACGAAAAGCCCTGATTTGGTGTGTAGGGTTTGGGGTTTTGGGGGTTTGGGGGTTGGGGCTCTTCAGGAAAGTCAGTTGCATTTGTTGGCGACAGACTGCGTGGAGTTGTTGGGCTGTCTATGTTGAAGCCTTGGTGCTGTAGCCAACCTCGGGAGACTGCAACAACACCGCTCAGCTGAGGAACAGGCTTGAAAACACTGGGGATCTTCATGATGCTTGAAGGCTTATGTATGCCAAATTAGCAGGCTGTGAGGTATCTACACACTAAACCCTAAACCCTACACCCCTAAACCTAAACCCCAAAATCTGAAGGTCCTACAACACCCTAGACCTACAGTTGGGGGCTGTGGGTTTCACCCCGGGGCTCAGACCGAGAGTTGTGGTTTATGGTTTAAGCTTGAAGGCTTTGGGTTTATATGGGAGTTTCCGAAGAAGGGGGTACCCTAATATAGTACCCCAAATAGTCGGATCTTTACTATAAGGACCCCAAAATGAGGTACCCCTAATTTTCGGAAGCCCCAAAAAGGGGTTCAGAGTTCGGGGCTAGGGTTGGGGGTATTGGCACTTGCTACACTTCTCCATTCGCACGTGCAGGATTTACTGTGTCGGGTTCAAGCTTTTAAGGTCGAGGCCCTTTCTGCTACTGGACTCAAGTCTACCCTAAACCCTAAGCCCTAAAGCCTTAACCCCTGAACCCTAAACCCTAAACCGCAAACGGCCCCAAACCCTGAAGGTCCTGCAACAAGGCACACGATGACCAGGTCCAGCAGATTCCACCGCCAGTCACCGGAGCAGAAGAAGTCGCACCCAGTGGCGGCCAGGCGAAGGAAGAGCTCGACCTACAGTCACAAAGTCTTAATAGTAATATCATAATATCATCATACTAGCAATAATTTAAAGGTCTCAATATGAATATCATAAATACTAGTCATATTAGTAGTTATTTGAATATTCACATTAATACTCACACTATTATATTGCGAAGATGATGACTATGATAAAGATACTGGCTATGACCGTGATTATGATTATGGCAATGATTGTGATGGCGAGATGGCAATTAGTAGTCTTATTCTCATTACGACGACGACTACTACTATTGTTATTTACACAACCAACAGAACTGATTGTAAGTATTGCTGTTGTTGTTATGACTAGTCATGTTTATCCCTACGGGAGTTTCCGAAAACAGGGGACCCTAATAGGACCCTAAAAAATAGGATCCTTATTATAAGGGCCCGAAAATATGGTACCCCCAGTTTTCGGAAACTCTACACCCTTATAGAGCCCTCTAAAGGAACCCTGAAAGTACCCTTATAGTAACCCTTTGAAGGAACCCATGGTCATGTTCAATAATCTTGTTGGTGCCTTGCAGCCGGTCTCACGGCGCTTCGAGGGCCTTCTACGAGTATTGCTTTCCTGGCCTCTTGTTAGGGGTTTAGGGCTTAAGTGTTTTTTCCCTCCTACCTAGTAAGGACGAAGGTGTTTAGGGTTTAGGGTTAGGGAGAGAGTCTTTCCATGACTTGAAAAACCCACAACTCGGAACTCTCGGCAGCAAGCCAGCTCCGAGTTCAGATTTAACCCCAAGCCTCGCACTCCAAACCCTGAACAGGTGGGATGATGTAATATACACAAGTATGACGCTTAGTAGGGCATAATGGAATAGGTTGTACCATTAAAGAAAGCAACGGTAAACCCCCGGCTGGCCCGAAACACAAGCAAGATTGCGCTCTCTGTGCAAGCAGCCCTCGGCCCTCGATGTAGACCCCGTGCTAAACCTTGAAACCCCAAACTTCAGCGGTAACTGTAACTCCCGCATCCCTAAAGATGATAAACTCTCAAACTTCAGTTCTACATACTTCTACCAATCGCAGATCCTATAACTTCTGCCATTGGACCGAGCCTTGGATTCGACTATACATCTTCCATCCAGGCATCCAAGGCGCCGTAAAAATGAGGGTGTACACGTCCCGAATCACCTCGGTCAGCGGTAAGATCATTGGGACGACTGCTCAACTCTGTCAAAGCTGGGATTTCATTGTATATCTTTAGCTGGGGTTGTCGCTTTACAGTTTGCGGAGGCTGGGCCAAGAGCTGGAGTTGAAGCGATATGGTTTGGGGGTCAAGTGTTCGAGTTTAGGGTTTACGGGGCCGGTCCCGGTCTCTCTCGAAACCCTACATCCCATTCCCTTAACCTCTGTCTCTGTCTCCTAGGTTTGGCATTTGGGATTCAGATTCAGTCTCTCGGAAACCGGACACACTTTGCCTGACAAGATCCAAAAATCACACCCTTGCCGACAGGATGGCCCTTATTTCTTGGGGTTCACGCTACCTTTATGCTCGGCCCAAGGGGGTGAGAGCATGGATACTTTCTTATGTTGGTTTCGCTTTGGTGTCTTCTTGGCTTAACTTTGCAAAGGTAGAACGCACCCTCCAGCTCAATCCATAGTTCCTGAATTCAGATAACCTACTACTAAGAAAGACATCCGACGCTAAACTAAACCAAACCCCAAACACTAAACCCTACCTCCGAAAGCAAACAGTGAACAGACTAAACTAAATCCCGTGCCCTAAATGTCAAATGCTCAGCCTACTCCCTCAGGCGCCTGAAACGTGAGATGCTGCATGCCGGGGTTAGAGATGGACCATTGTACCTGCAGGGAATTGATTAGGGTGAGTCGGGTGAGTAGATTTTTGCTCAGGCTGTCAGGCTTGCTGGGTTTTTGTTATACCGCAGGGTTTACCGGCTCAGGGCTGCAAGTTGGCACGCACCCTCATGAAAGTCGAAACACCAAGTCGGCCACCTCTTGGAAAGCTGGCCGTTTCCTTTGAGGACTTAGCAAGAACTCCGAAATTCCATGTGTGTTCGATTGACGCAGGGAGCTTTCACCGTGCACGATTAATCCCCAAACCCAGTCTAGCCTTGTCAGGTGATGTGTAGTCTGTTGGTATCATTGTTACAACTCTAACAATTATTACAAGTATTACAAGTATTATAATCATTATAACAACTTTGACTGTTAACTCTATGACGTTTCGGACACCGGGGCCCTGCGCTTCTTTCAGGGGCTCGCAACGCCGCGAACATCCTGAGCCCCTGTTCCTTCGCAGAACCGCCAAACACCGGTTTAGGGTTTAGGGCACCCCTACAACCTATGCCCCAACCCTGAAAGAAAGGACCCTAGTAACTGGAACATGGTTTTATAAGGTTTATTGCAGTGTAAGCATGGTGGGAATTCTAAGGGGACAGGATCAAAAACTCCTCAAGCCCCAGTCGTGAACTCTAAACTAAACCCTCAGGGTCTGAGCCTCCCAACGATAACTGTAACTCAGAAGCACCCTCTCAGCTGTCAACTCTCACCCCCTATAATCCCTAAACCTCTACAACCCTACCATAAACTCCAAACTCCCCAAAAAACAGCAGACCTCAAAGCCCAGCCCCACCTCCACACCAATAAAGACGGTGTTCGTAAGGATAGCTGCTGCCTCGGCTGACTTGGCAGCGGCAGCGGGAATTTTTCGCAGAGGGAGTCGCGTCATTTTGGGGCCCTTGACAATCAGAAGAGTGCTGCTGTTCGGGGTACGATATTAGGGTCCCCTATTCTCGGAAACTCCCGTATTTGGGTTTCATGGCTTGTTCTTTCGGGTTTGGGGTTGACGAACCTTCGCCCTGATCCGATTCGGTCCATCCTGCGCTCTCTCCTGAAAACCTGAAAACCCCCTGCACCCTTAAACCTGGGCTAAAATCCTAAGCTTCAGGGCTTTAGGGGTTTGCAGGGGTTTATGGGGTTTAGGCGTTTAGGGTCTCAGCTGAAACCCCGAGACTAAAGCCTGTGAGCTCGATCCCTCAACTCTCAGCCCCCCAAATTTTTCGGGTCAAAATCCCGAAGCTCCAACCCCTCCTTTTGAAGAATCCTAAACCCTAAACCCTAAGGTCAGGGTGTAGGGCATTTTCAGACATCTCCCAGTGCGATGGGAGAGGCCATGACCATGTCGAAGGTGCTCGACAAGACCTAAGCTTCCGCGGCTCCCGACTCTAGGAACGAGGGGATGGGAGTTTGTAGAGGGATTTGGGAGTTTCCAAAAATAGGGGACCCTAATATAGTACCCTAAATAGTAGGACCCTTATTATAAGGACCCCAAAATGAGGTACCCCCTAATGTTCGGAACCTCCCATTTGGGAATGCTTAGGTTTTAAGGTCTGGTTTAGGTTCAAGGTTTAGGAACACTGAAGGTTGCAGTTAGGGCTCTACGGGTCTCGGTCGTCTCTCTGGTTAGCGGCTCGAGGCCTAATTGCAGCTTCGAGTTTAGAGGTCGGACTGCTCTTGTCCGTCCGGAGTACTCGCCGCCGTTTAGGGTACAGAGCTCAGGGTTTGGGGACTGAGTGTTCAGGGTTGAGTGTATGTTTCTCACCTTGAGCTCGAACTTTACGTCTTGAAGCATGCAGTTTTTTGGAGAGTCTTCTGACATGTGTGCCATATTGGAGCAACCGGAATCGTTCCAGGGCTGTTCAGGATTTCTGGCTCCGTCGAAGCGGGAAGGGCTTGAATTATGGAGGCATCGGTAAACCGTAAACCCTAACCCTTGACCCTACACCCGACCCTAGACCCCAAACCTCGATCCCCACCCTGAACCCTAAACCCCCTAACCCCCAACACCCAAAAACGCAAAAAAAGGGCCTCCCTCGGAAGCCCTCAACCGCAAGAAAACAAAATACTCGAGCGGTCTGGAAGCCGAAATTCAAGCTTTGGGGATTTAGGGGTTTAGGATTTAAGCTTTGGGGCTTTACTCTACGAACGCTTAAGGACTGAGGGAAAAGGACCGGAAGTTCAGGGTTCAGGCCTTCAGCCTCCGGGGAGTCTTTTCTGTGAGCTCCATCTAAACCTTAATAATAATACTATAATACTATAATACTATAATACTATAGTACGAAAAAACTATGATACTATAATCTATAATAATAATAATACTAATAATAATAATAATAATAATGATCGGAATCTCTCTTGGCAACCCGGGTGCCATATTCTGCAAGCAGTTCCTGTAGGTAGTGGTCTCCGTTCGCATCATCATGGCTTCCTGCTTGGCCTGGCCAGCTCTGCGTGTTCAGACCTACTACAAGACTATCATTCTTATTTATTGTTATTTTCGTATTCTCATTATTATAGTACTATTATTATCGTATTACCGTATTGTAGTATTATAGTAATATAGCCTTTAGGGCTTGCGGCCTCGGTGTGCGGAAGCGGAAAGGCGGGTTCGAGCTCGCTGCAGTGTTATCACATGCCCGCACTTCTGTTGAGAACGACTGCTGCGAGTTCAGAGCCATGGCATTGGTTCATTTCTTTCGGGCTGACTTGTCTTGGTCCATGGGTCAATGACACTGCTCACAGTCAGAACACCTACGCTACTTGTAACACTCCCAGCTCTGCTACGAAACCGGGGAGGCTTAGTGTCAAGGGACAAGGGTTAATGGTTTTCAACGTTTCTCGATTTGTGGGGGTTTCGGCGCTCACATTTGTGTGGTTTAGGGTGTGGGTGGTTGGCTCCAAGCTTGCAATCGCTTATATTTGGATCAGCACTCACAGATCCACCCCCTAAGCCCAACCCTAAAGCAGCAAGCAATGGCTAACCCCACAGCTCACATCCTATCTCCTCCCTACGCTTTCACCCCATTTCTCAACCCGCCTAAGATTTCAACCTCCCAAAACACCAAAACACAAAGCACCTCCCAAGAACAGTATATACAATAATCCAAGTTTAGGATTTCGAGTTTAGGATTTAGGGGTTGGGAACCAGGAGTGTCTGAACGTGCGAGGCAAGGGCAAGGGCCCCGACGTGGAATCCGCCCGTCAGCCCCGCATGCCGGAGGCATCCGGGATTCAAGGTACTGTGGGGGCCTCAATAATCGTGGACTCGTGTTACACGGCGGTCATTTCAAGTTTCAGGATGTAATGACCTGAAGTTTCTACAATCTAAAATCTCAACTAAATCCTTGTAGTAGCCGTTATAGAACCCTTTAAAGGAACCCATTCCAATTATTAAGGCCCCAAGCTCTACGCCCCAAAGCGTCGGAACTCCGAAGACGGAAACCCCAGAGGTTGAGGCTCCAAACACTCAACCTCTAAGGCCTTGAACCGGGAGGGAGGAGGGGAGGGAGGGGAAGGAGGGGGGAGGCGAGAGAGGGAGGGAGGGGGTGAAACCTTACCCCCAACTACGGTTTAGAGTTTGGGGCTTTGGGTTTAGGGGTTTAGGGCTCAGGGTTTAGGGGCCCTGAGCTGTTCAAAACCCTCAACAGCAGAGCCGCCTTGAAGTGACCCGCATCCACCTCGGCCGCCCCCTTCTTGAGCATCATGTCGGTCTGAATCCAGCTACTTTAGAGGCCTTATTAAAAGAATAGGGTTTGGGGTTTCTTTATAGTATAAATAGAAGAAGGGCGCCTAAGGAATAATATTGGCAATAATTCAGGCTCAGGAGAAGCAACCAAAGTCTCTGAAAGTGGGCGTGACAAGCAAGCAACACGCTTTCAGCACGGCACCCTTTTGCATCGGGCTTGCCTTGTCGCCCGGGGGCTCCCTCTGCACAACCCTGAACCCTGCAAACTTCAACCCTTTCTGCAACCAGGCCCGGGTTACGTATGAACCCCGAACCTGAAGGCCCAAGTGAGCTTCGCTTCGGGATGCTTCGATAAGCCACCCTTTCTCCATGCCCCTGCACTTCTGGCAAAACCACACAAAGAACGTTTGCATGTGTGGGCATGTGCCACGATGGTTTCCGAAACAGTTGCGCAGAGCATCAACCTGCTTTAACCTGCCTCCAACCGCATCTGCCTTCCATCGAACCCTTACCCCAAAATCCTTCGAAGAACTGAATCTAGACTGCATCGCCTCGGAACAAAGATACGAGCCTGCAACCACGATACCAACCAGTTACCCTAACGATTCCCTGATGCATATAGCTGCAGGTAAGGACCAGCATTTAGGATCTGCAATTTCCGCAAACAGCCTTGGCATTGATCGCACGTCCGCTTTGAGCGGAGTGGCAGCAGATACATGGGAAAAACCTGCAAAGATTGCGGTGTCGTTAGCCATCTTGTGACCTCGACACATCTGCGTTTTGCTCAATGGTTGTCAACAAGCCCAGGTGGTCGCTTACGAAGGTGGCATCGGTGTCCACCTCAGGCTTGAGATGAACGAAATTACTGTACATCGACGGGAGAACGTCGAGCAAAAAAGGTCCCGGCAGAAGCGGCTGATCAAACATCAGCTGCATATCCACCGGCTGCCACCACGGTAGCTTCGCTAGGGCCCGGCCTGTCCTTTTCGTCCCCTTGCCTTTGCCCTTGGAGTGCTCTTTCTCCTTTCGCAAAGTAGGCCACAGATCGGTAAAGTCTGGCAGTTGATTTTGCAATACGCACCGGTGCAGAACATCTTCATCCATGCTGAAATCACCCACCAAGAGCATGTTAGACCATTGCTGCATCACCTTGCCGCGTATAAACAAGCGAAAGTATTCACGACCCGGGGGAACGTCCTAGCGTGGGAGTCTGAAGAACTAATTAATTACGACTATCGTTCGTCCACAAACGCCCTCAGTACATATGCAGCATCATAGATATTGTAGACTATGCCCGTATCCTATTCAGAGACATTAAAGCCCGGCATGGTGGCTTCAACACCAAAGCCCCCACCTTAGCGCAATCTGCAAGCTGCCTCTCTCGAAGCTCCGGGCTGCTTGACAGGTGCACATTGCCAACAGCAAGACCCGGGAATTCCGCCACAAGCAGCTTGCAATCTTTGGACTGCAGAAGGCAGCTGGAAAAACGAACATCTAACTCCGGCGGGGCCATAATCCTGGGTTGGAAGAAGCACCGACATGACCCAAAGTTCATCCGAAGTGCCTGAAGCTTTCTCAGGAGCTTTGGCCTAAGTTTTTGCAAGCAGAAGCCGAGCATCAGAACGCCGTGGCCTTTTGTCGACGATCCATCTCCAGGGTCTGAAGAGTCCCATGTGGGAAGCGCGCGCTGGAGGTCCTTGGCCACCTTGGGGGTCACCTGACGGCTGCTGGAAATCAGGACTCCAGTTTTGACGAGCTTCCTTAATGTGTACATCCAGAAGGCCCCACGAGGTACGCAGGACCCTAAGTCAGAACAGTCCTCACCTCCTGCAAGCAGCAAACAACGGGACCAAGTTGTTGGAGAGCTGACAGGAGTGCGGCCGTGCGAAGTTCTCGCTGCTTCGCGTCAGAACACACATTGAGGCTGAGAATGCTGAGCCGCGAATGTGAGCTGACCTTGCCATCCTGCACGAAGGAGTCGAGGGATCGGCTGACATTCGGGTGTGAATCAGCCAGCCTTTGCGCCATGTCGCCAAGGTTCTGCAGCACAAACGCCCAAGTCGAAGGCGGAGGCAGCCTGAAACTGTCGATAATTAGACATCGCTCCATCTCCTCAGGCAAATACGTCACCGACCTTGTCCCTGTCATCAGCCCGTGCACACAGAGATCCGCCAAAAGACCAAAGTTGGCCATATGCATGCGCTTGAACTCAGGATAGGAAAACACAAGGCTTCGTCTACCGAAGATGAAAGCCGCATCCGTCTCTACAAGACCTGCCATCATCTTCAGGATCCTGGCCAGGAGGTACCGGAAGCTCTTAGCTTCCTTCAGCATGGCACACATTCTCACCAAGGGGAGATCCCCAGCACTGGGATGCAAAGCAATGGCATGAAGCGAGTCTAGCAAAGCGACCCGGGAGTCAGCCGCCTCGAGGATTGGAAGAAGTACTTCGACAGACTCTTCCTCCACAGCCTGCAGAAGTGGAGCAAGTTGACATCGGTCGTGATGAGAATCGTCCCGTAGAACTGGGGCTGCTTGCACACTCTCCCCTCTCGCGGCTTGCACCTTGCAGGAAGCCAGAGATGTCGACAGCTTCCAAGGGTTAGATCTGTATATCCCGCAATAACTATAAGCATCTGGCTTCAGGAGCAGCTCCACTCTTGCCACTAGGCCCACAAGCAGGTCGTGCAGGCTACTTCGGAGACTTTCGACCTCTTCAGGGTCGAAACAGTTCCTCATGAAGACGCAGCAGACATACTCGGCGCCGCCCCCAACTTTCATGGAATCACATTTTCCCAGGGCCGCCTTACTCAGCGCCCATACGAGGGCCGGCCAGACGCGATCCATTAAAGCCGGCTTCAGAAAGAAGAGCCACTTTCCTGCTTGAACGCCGTGGCGAAGCGCGAGCTGCTTGAGGCCGTCCGCAAGGTCTGTCCTGGAAAGATCACGTCGTGATGAAAGCTCCTTCCAATCTGCTCGTAGTTGTTGGACGTTTTTCTCTCCGCCACCGGCTCTTTCCTGGCTACCCTTGGCATAAACCCATCCGAACGTCGCCCAGTCAACAGCTGATGGCCTGATGCGCATGAATCTCCGCGTCGCAGCCTCGCCGTCTGAGCACTTGTGTCCGATCCCTGGCTTGTCGTCTGAAGCCGTTGCCTCCGATACAATCTCCTGGTATACTTCCTGTCTGGGCATGGCATTCTGACCGACTCCTCTGCCGCGTCCACCTGCAGTGTCTCCTCCCCTCTTGCCGTGCCCCTTGAAGATGCCCCCCTTACCTTCTTGAGGTCCTTGGCGGTCGCAAGACCGAGAATCCTGACGGTTCGGACAATGCGCCGTCAAGTGTTCGTTTGCAGCCCCACAGACTCCGCAGATGATGGGCATGGCTCCCGGGACGCGGGTCACTCCTTTTCAAGGTTGCTGCCCAGTTGTCGTACGGCTGAGGGTGTTTAAGCAGCTCAAGCTTTGGGGTGGCAGGTGCAAGAGACATAGTTCATATAGTTCATGCGCGAACAGCCGTCTCTCCTGTCGGGCATTGAGGCGTCGGGCAAGTTCCTTGCTTTAGCATAGAAACATCCAGAACATATTACTTTGTACTCAAGGTTCTCTGGACGTGCCACAAACCCGGAACCCCGCCTGCTGGGGCTTGGGGACCAGGAGTTCAAGTTGTTCGGTTTTTATGGGGCTCAAAATTCCATGAAAAACTCTTTGATCACGCCCTGAACCATCTAATCACCGCCTCGCGGCTTTTTCCGCGACCCGTCGCTGTCGGCGCACTTGCCCCAACAGGCTTCGAGAGGCCAGGGCTTCCCCAAACACGAAAAAAAAACGAGTTTTTTCGGGCTGCCTAAACCCCAATTCCTGCGTTTCGGGTTTAGGGTTAAGAAACCTTCATTCCGAGGTTTCCTATCATGATTTCCTTTAAGAGTTCCTGGAGACGGTAGGTTCGTTGAGGCTTAGGTCGGGCTTGCAGGTTTAGACATAGGGAGTTGAGGATCCGTGGATCCAGACGACAAACTCCTAGGTTGAGGATTTATGTAGCATGCAAAGCTCTACGTAACCCGAATCTCAAACCCTGAAACCTGAATAAAGAACATGGTATTGTATTGTTATACTCAATTTAATTTGCAACCCCCAAAATAGTACAGATAATTATTGAGGCCCCTATAGCACAGCCCACCCTGAACCCCAAGCCAAATAAACTGAATCCCCCTTTCCGTCAGACCTTACCTCCTAAACTCTGAAGCCTCAAACACCTGAACCTGAACCCTAAACCCTAAACCTTCGCCGCCTGCGTCAGAGAGCTGAAAAGCTTCGGCGTGAAGGTGGGCTTCCGCGGGACCAGCGCTTGAGCCTCTCCAGAGACTCCAATATCCCTTAATTAAGGATGATACCCCAAAGGGCTCCTTAAAGAGATCTAGAAGGTTCCTTTAAAGGATCTATAAAGGATCTATAGGGCTTAGGGTTTAGGGGGCTCCAATGTTCACTAGTTTAGGAATATACTGAAATTAAAGTAAGACCCCCAATATGATTCAAGGCATATTCCCGAACGAAGGAATATTGGAGTCTCTGGGTCCCCATGACAAAACCGGGGCTTTGGGGGCTCCGTTCACCACCGCGGTTCTGTCAAGGCTCTTCATGCGCTTTATGGGGTCTAAACTTCTAAACTCGGCTCTGCAAGGGCTCTGTTGGGGCCGAAACCCTAAACCTTGTACTCGGCTTGCTGAAGAATCAAGCCGGATTGATGGTGTCAGGGCATGAAGGCTGTCCTTAGTTCTAACCTCCGCTGGGGCGGCTTCTGGTTATCCTAAACTCCTGAAAAACCTACCTTCTAAAGTAACGAAATGAGGAACTGAAAACTTATACCTCGTGGGGATAAGCAGATCTCTGGAAATCTTAATCCTGCAGCCCTAAACCCTTAACCTTGTAGGGCTCTGAGGAACCTCAAACCCTAGACTCTTTAAACCCCAAACAACCCTAAACCCTCAACCCCAAAAGAAGAGATGGTCTCGCCGCTTTTTGGAAACTGAGCCCTCAACGCCTGCGTGTCTTAGGCCCTTAGTAAGAATTGGGGTTTTGCGATTAAGGGGGCGTTGGCAGGTTCAGTGGTTTGTAGGGCTTGGGGTTTGGGCTTCGTGATTTCGGTGTTTGACTATAGAGGCCCAGGGCCTACAGGGTTACCAATACTCGTTTGGGGCTCCTTCTTTCACCTGTATTATGGTATATAATATACCCCCAAACCCTAGTCCAATCATTAAGGCCCCAAGGAGATTTAGGGCTTGCTGGGCTTGAGGTACCACTTTAGCCCTTACACTTTTTTTGCATCCGGTCTGCAGTAGCACTTACACTGAAGTTCTAAGCCCCTGCTAAACATTTTGTAGTTTTCAGCCCGTCCGTCAAAGCCCTGAAGCCCAGACCTACACAGCAGTGGCCTTAATAATTACCGATACTATTTTGGGGGTTCCTTCTTGTAGTAGTAGTAGTAGTAGTAGTAGTAGTAGTAGCAGTAGTAGTAGTATAATCGGCCCCAAAACCCCATTCTAAGAAAAAAGGGCCCTAGATTACACAGTAGGGCTGGCCTCAACATCGTGCAAATCGTACTAGCCTCGTTTGGAAGTCCCCGAAACTGAAACTTTTTAACCCCAAACCCTGCTAAACGCCTGTTTTGGAAGCTGGAGGCTCACGCGCTTGCTCTTGACCTGCGGGTGAACTGTCTGGTGCTCAGTAGGGAATGGGGGAATGGATCCCTAAAGTAGTCCCTCTATGATCCGAATGGCAGTCTCCATGATCCATTCCCCCATTCCCTACTAAGAACCAGACAACGAAGGCGGACTTTGTGCCAAGGATTTAGACTGAAATGGCTTTACGCTTTCCAGATTTGGGTCTTGAAGGCTGAGGGTTTGTGCATGTAGCGCTGATGCTGTAAGGCTGCAGGATTTGGTTCAAAATTAGGGATGTGATGTAGGGTTTGGGGGTTTGATCTTCTCTTACAGCACGCAAGTCAAGGTAGCTACCGGATGCGATTTTCGGCTCAGGTCCGAGTTTTGGGGTCTCGGGCTTCGACGGAAGGAACTTCCTGGCCTCTCTTTGCTGGAAAACAAGGCCAGGACACTCCCAAAACCAACGACTCCTTATTCGCAGCTGGGACTCTCTTTTTACCAAACTGGGACTGCCTCAACCCAAACCCCAACACTCCTAAACCCTGGCGGTAGCCCAGAATTTGCAATGCACACTGAAGAGGATGCGATAGATCACTGGCGACCCTAAGTGCTACGAACCGACCGACACAGAAGCGGTTAGAGTCCTGTACAACAACACGAAGGTAAAATTCGCTACAGGTCCTGCTGTAGCCAGGCAAGACATATCGCCTCCCTGTGGCTTTGAGCTTAAAGTCTCAAGCGCTTGAGGATTCCAGGGCGTCAGGTCTTGGACTTCAAGCTTACAAGTTTGAGACATTCTATTCCCAAACCCGACGCCCGTACCACAGATGCCTGAACCCGAAGCTCCAACCAAGAGAGAGGGCACCTTCCTAACCGAGTTCCGGCGCGAAACCGCCGTGGAGGCCAATCCTCCAGGAGAATGCGGGTTTCGAAATTACAGCCTAAGGGCCTAAGGTCTCTATAATATAGAGGCCTGAACAAGTAGGACGACGCTAAGGAAATTATCAAAAAAAGAAAGGAACCTTTAAAGAACCAAAAACATTCGAAAACAAGTGGGGCTTGAGGCTTGGGGTTTCGGGCATAGGGCTCTAGGCTTGGCTCAGCCAGCCTGATACACTTGCTATGCTGGCTGAGTCTTGACCGTGGAAAAGCCTTTCGCAGCCCAGCACCGTGGAAAGGCCTTTTCTCAGTCACGGGCTGGGGCTGCACGTTTGAATAAGCATCGTATTGCGTGGAAAGGCCGAAACCCCCGATCCGTTCGAGGCAATGGCTCGGAAGCCAGCCTCATCGATTTTTGTTGGTGGCTCGGGGTTTATGTGCTGAGTCCGCTGAATTCGCGGCTTAGCGTTTATACTGGGTTTTCAAGCTCAGGGATGCTCACGGAAGAACCCTTCCCCAAAATTTAGATGGGCTTCGGGTTTTGGGTTCAAGGCAGCGTCGACCGGCCAGAGAGTTGGTTTCGGACGAGCTGAGCTTTGAAGCTTCCAGCAGCTCCCCCAAGCTTGTGTGTGGGCAGTTGTCATGAGATTTTAGCAAATCTTGAGGGCTAGGCTTTGGGAGTTGTGTCTTGGGGTTTTGGGGTTTGGGGCTCATGGTTTGGGTGTTGGGGCTTTGGTTTTGTTGCTTCGAGTTATGCTTGCAAGGTCGTGCTGGTTGCAGGATCTCCCGCGGGTGAGGTGTTCCGTGGTGTTCCCTACCTCTTCATTTTGGGAGTCTTCACGGTTGGGTAGGCTGAGGAATCAGAAACGAATAGGAAACATCATAATCTCATATCTTCTCGACCGTATACTAGAGATTACCGATTTTCAGGTCAAACCAAATTCAAACAGTGATGAGGTTTTACTGCTGCCCTACCAACGTCACAGCACTCGAGTCTTGACGTTTGGTTTGGGGGATCTTGTTTTCTTAGTGGCGGGGGGCAGGGGCGGGCAGGGTTGCGGGGCGAGATAGACACGGTGCTAGCGGAAGGGCGGCTGGGATTTATCCAAAGCTACAGCAATACCTGCGGCGATCTGGGGAGGGAGACCCGGTGCTGGGGACAGGGTGGTTGGGGCAGTATGTAGCAGTAAGCGTAATCCATAGTAACAGTAATAATGACGGCAGAAGGCAAGTGATTGTAGCAAGAACAAAAATCGTATTTGAGCTTTCCTTCGTTCCGCGCTTTGGAGAGAAAAGCCATTTTGTGACTGCTCACAGTCTGAGAGTGCCATAGTTTACAGCAGTTGAATGTTTGATATTGTGTTGATTCCTACCTGATTTAGATGCCTGCTTGATTTATTTGGTCCCTGTTTAGTTGTTTGATAGTGTAAGTACAATGAGGAGCCTAGCAAGTCTTGAAGCCTTTATACTGACATGCCTTTGCAACAGGCTTCAAGAGGACACCCTCCCAAAGCATGCACCCAAAAACGCAAACGTGGTGATGGAACGCTCTGCCTTGGACTCTACTCTGATCGGAGGCCTCCAAAGGTGGGATGAAGGTAGGTAGGATTAAGGATCCCTTCTATAAGGACTCCTATTTGGGAATATCCCACCTACCTTCATCCCACCTTTAAGAGGCCTCCGATCTGACCGTAGCCCTCTTTTCTGTTGTCCGTGGGGGCGCCTGTGTTCTCCCTGAGGTCTCGCAGCAGCTGCTCATAGCGGTCGAAGCGCTGCAGGACCTCTCGGTCAGGCTCTCGTTAGCTTTGAGTTGCTTTGGTGAGGATTCGTAGGGTCTGAAGGTGTTCCGCAAGGCGGGTTCGACAAAAGGTTCCTTTTTTTTTCCCTCCTACCTAGCAAGAACCTTTTGAGGATTCTGTTTGGGGTTGGGGCTTGCGGTGTTTAGGGTTGAGTGCTGCGGCCCAGCAGCAACCCGCAAGCAAGAGTAACGGAGCGGCGTCCGAAATCTATGAAAAGCCGGCCCTGAACCCTAAGCCCTTGATTCTAAGCATCCCTAAACCCCAACCCTGAAAACCCAAAAGCTATGCAAACTTCAAGCCCTAAAAAAACCACCAAGACACCAACCACAGCCCTACAAGCCTCAAGCTCCCACTCCCAAAACCTATGCCCAAAACTCCTCAGCCCTGAACCCTCCTCCGACCTTCAACCCTTGCGTCTCAGAGCCGACGTGTAATGAAGATGCCTGATTATCTTACCGTTGGTTAGTAGGCAATGGAGGAATGGGGTACAAGTATAACTACTGTTACCACCATTCTTCCATTCCCTACTAACCAACGGTAAGTTATCTGATCAATGAGCTCCCTCACCTTTGTAAGGGCCATGATCGGGATCCTAATTACTAACGGACTTGAAGGAGGTTGATTAATCAGAGGTCTGCATTCTGCCCTAAACTAGATAAACCGTCCTAAACCCGTCGGCAAGCAAATCCTCGAAACCTGATTATCTGCACCCCACTCCCATCGGGGCTCTTCGGCGCCTCTACGTGCTGCATCTTCATCATGTTCTTTAACCTCAACATGCTTGGGCATTCCGGACTATTCACCTCCAAGCCTGAAACTCCAAACACATGAGTGTGTGTGTGTGTGTATATATATATATATATATATACCAGTACGTATGTATGCATGTATGTATTCATGTATGTATATATGTATGTATGCGCATATAATACTAACATGCATACCTACATCCATCCATCCCTCCATCCATCCACCCCATCCCATGCCATCCCATTCTATCCATCCATCCACCCACAGCCATGCATGCATGCATGCATGCATGCATCCATGTATGTATGTCGGCATGCACATATACATATTTATGATGTACAGATGTGTGTACATGTGTATGTGTATATAAATATGTATATACACACACTCGGTCTTGGAAGTGTCCGCTTGGGACTTGGGGTGGCTTTGGTGCAAGTTCTGGGCATTCGGGTTTAGGGTGATACTCTGTGGGCTTCACAGAAGAACGGCTCGGGGCTTAGAGGACGGCTCAGGTTTCAAGGTTTGCGGTTTTCGGGACTAGGCTCTGGAGTTTGGGGTTTGTTGTACATGTTTCTTGCTATCCTGCGGCCATGACAACCGTTGGTGCAGGGGACAGAGGGATGCTAATCCCCACAAGCCACAGGCCTATGGGTCAATGTGGGTCTTGAGGCCTCGGGTTTCCGAGATGAGATATGCTCCAGCCCCTCAAAGGTGGTCAGGTGCAAGATTGGACAAAAATGAGCCTGAAGCCCTAGAATTCCATAGCCCCTACAAACTCCTCCAAGATCCGAAACGAAGCGAAACGAGAACGTGGCTTTGCTGTAAATGGGGTGTCTTACAAACAAGAATGCCTTATGCAGAGGCACTTATTCGAAAAAGTCCTACCATCGGAAGATCTATATTGAGTGTCCGAAGGTTGATGTGAACAAAGCAGCTCCTCATCGTCGAACTCCTTGGTTCTGTGGATGGTCCCGAAAAGCGGCACGCCTGACCACCCAGGGTTCTGACTGGCTTTTCAGAGTGTTTAGGATCTCGGTTTTGGGGATCTAGAACTTTGGGGTTCTTGGGCCAATACAAAACATGTGGAGGCTATTGGGATTTCGACTATGACAATAATGAACAGACTTCCGAAGGAACGGCCAAGATTAACCAAATAGAGAATGAGAAGTTCCAAGACGCCTCGGCACTGCTCTTGCGCTGCAGGACTGAAGTAGTGGCCGTAATGATTAAAGCACGGTTTTGGCATCACTATAATCCAGAATCCCAACTTACGCAACAAGGAACCCTAAAGACAATCTATACAATATATTTAGGGCAAGGAACCCTGAAGCAATTTATTCGTGAGGGCTCTAAAGCGGGGGACCCTGGGCTCGCCTGGCTTCGCCGGCATTGCGCGCTTCGGACACTCGACTTTTTCCAGGCCTTCCTGGAGTGGTCCCATAACAGCAGGGTAGGGTTTAGGGATATGGGTTTAGGGATATGGGTTCAGGGTTTAGGGTTTAGGGGCAGGGCTGTGTAACAGTTTTGATGTGATGAAGAAAGAATTTCCAAGGATCTGCACGACAATGGGTTTTTAAGGTTTTATCAGGTTCGGAAGGGAACCAAAACTATGGTATTTTGAAGGGGTCTTATGGGGGCTTCTGTCAGGAGTGTTCAAAGCAGCTTCCAACGGCTTTACGCAAGCGTGATACGGTCTTATGAAAGGTTGTGTGTGGTGTTCGAGAGCTGGATGAACTGGATTTCATGGGATTTTAACAAAGGCTGTCTACGGTGCTAATATCAGGCTTTAGACCTCCCCGAGGTTGCGAAGCTGGCGCAAGCTAGATGGATGGGCGAGACTCCGCGAAAATTCAAAGCTTCGGGATTGCGCGTCGGGTTTGCATTTGGAGGGTACAAACTCGGGTACCCGGGACTGCCATACTATTGGGATTTGTGCTTCTGTAATCAGCTCGAGTCAGAATCTTTGGACATTGTGATCTTCAGGGGGCTACTCTGAACCCTGGTGCCATGTTGGAAGCCTGAGATACACGCGATACACAGCTTCAACCCTAAACTCGAAGCTACACCTATAGGTCTGAACCCCAAACCTCACCCAAGTTCTACCCCTAATCGCAGAAAGCCTAATTCTGACCGCACCCGTAAACCTCAACCTGCCCCTACTTGTAGCCGAAGAGACCTGCCTTTTTAGGGCTCCTTCTTATTGTTTCTGCATTTAGTTCCTGAAAAAGGTAGGTCTTTTCGGCTACAGTAAACCCTAAACCTCCAGGGCAAGCCGATTCCCGATGTGGACGCAGCGGCCTCCTCGTCTTCGCTATCCAAGCTGAAGAGGCCTTCATCGCTTTCCTGCGCTGAGAACTAAGGATTAGAAATTGAGGGCCAACCCATCAAATGTTGTAGCACTTTTTCTAGGGATTCAATAAAGGCGTTGTTTGTGGGGGTTGTGCAAGAAAGGCTTGAGGGCTTCTCAAGATCATCTGGGCACAACTGTTCGGGTGGTCCTCAATCTAAAGATCCTTCTGTCTGGCGTCCGCACAGCAGCGCAGAGGAGCACTCTAACTCATCAAGCATATCATGACTGCCCCCAAACCCCTCTGTAAATTTGCACAAAAACCGGGGTGAAGGCGGGCATCTTCCAGAAGGGCCTCCGCCACTGGAGCGAGCTGCGATGACTCCGAGATCATTTCGCCGTCCATGGCTGCCGTGGGCCCCACCGTCACGAGCCGTGATGCTACGAAGCCTAGATCCTATTGTTGATGATATAAATCCCGCATTGCCTTACGGACCCTAAACTACGGGAAATAAAGCATATTCCTTATTATGGGTAATGCAGAACTTATACCATCAAGCGTAGGACTATGGTCTGCCGCCTGAGGGCTGTCATGGGCGGCGAGAGCTTCGGGCTGCGCGGAACTGGACATCAGTGGGCTGTAGTGGGCTTGGGGTTTACTCGCGCAGCTTTCTTGGAGCACTGAGCAGCTTCTCATCTTCCAGTTGCTATTTGCTTTCGAGCTACTAGCTGATTGGGGCTTCGGGGGAGGGGTGAGGCATGTCTGAAGAAGTTGGATGCACAGACCATCTGCTTGAAACTGTAAGGGCAGAGGCACAGTCACTCAAAGCCATGAGAGCTGGAGATCCCTGCGCTCCGAGTCTAAAGTATACCCCACCTCAGACCTGACATCAACCCTAAACCCGAAACCCTACAAGGGGAAGCAGAGCCCTCAACCCGAAACCCAAGCGGCCCCCTAACCCTCAGAAACCAAGGCACCCCAGTCCCCAGGCGGGGCGGCAAAGGCACCTGTCTGCTTCTGTCACCTCTGGCTGCGGCCAGAGGTTGTAAAAGGGCCAGTGTCATCTCTTCATAGTAACTTGCTCCTGTTTGAGTAAGGCAAGCACCCCTAAGTCAGATACCCCTACATTCCTGAAATCCCCCAGTGGTTGAGGGGTTGCAGGTTCTTGTGCCGCGCCTTGGGGATTCCTATGCCTGGCGCTTTGCCGCGGACGCGACACCCTGAAACTTTCGGGAGCAGTAAACCCTAAACCCTGAACCCCGCCGTGCGGTTTAGGATGCGGGGATCAAGACTTTGCAGCTACGTGGAAGAAGAAATCCGAAGCACCTTTAACCCGAAGCCCGAAACCAAGAAAAAGCTCTTGAGGCCTCAGCAAAACACCAACACTGTGAACGCTTTGATCCCTTTCGAAGCCTGCGGGCCGAAACACAGAACCCGGCGCATGAAGACTTTGGCTTCTTTTGTCTTACCTTTGGTTAGTAGGGAATGGAGGAATGGGGTACAATTATAACTATTACGATCATTCTTCCATTCCCTACTAACCACAGGTAAGCTGTCCCAAGGCCAGGGCCCAGTATGGCAGTGCTGATGCAGAGTCCTCTGCGATCGGCCGGGGTCTTATGGGGTTGAACCCTTTTTGCATCCAGGCCTATTGTGGGGTTGAACCCAAAACCCCTAAACCCGTAAACCCCTAAACCTCTAGACCCCTAACCCCTTAACCCCTAAACCTCTAAACCCCTAAACCCCAAACCCTAAACCGTTGAGGGTCTGTGGAAAAGGGCTTCTGGTCCAGAATGCTCCAGGGCTTGGGGGTTGTTTCTGGGTTTACGGTCTAAGGCAGAGACTTCAGAGTGGCGGGTGCAGCGTTGAGGCCTTCGGGTAGCTCTGGGTTCGCCACTGGCTGCGGAAAGGCGTCTATCTGGAGATCTGAAATGTTCCAGCATCTTCGTGAGCAGCTCAGGCGGCCCTGAACCCCGAACCGAACTCACGGAGCAAAGGCTCGTCTACCAGATTCTAAACCCAAACCGCACGCGCTAATCCCAAGCCCTCTTACTCAACCTCATCCCAAGCCCTAAAACCTAAACCCTACACCTACACCGTAAACCCAAAACTCCAAACCCTAGAGCCCAAATAGATGCTTTTTTGAACCCAAAAAACTCCAAACCCTTAGCCCAAGTCTAGTCCCGCTTAAATGCCAAGCCGGAAGACCCCCTTCGTCCTGAGGGAGCGCAGAGTGGGAGAAGATCAGCTTTTGCTCCTGGAACAAAGCTTAGGGTAAGGTTTAGGGTTTCGACTCGCACACTCGCACAATGCAGGCACGGCTTCTGTGGTCCATTTCTACTGTTACTACTGTAGGCTTGGCAGAGGGTTTAAGGGTGCCAGGGCTTAGGGGGAGGTTTCAGGGTCAGGTGTCATATTAGGGTTTAGGGCTCCCGGAATCAAGCTTACTCGGAGACTTCTCTACCTGCAACTCTAGCTCAACTATCACTCCCCAAATTTTGTCACCTAGGCTTGGGCTACAAGTACAAGTGTAGTTGGGCTAGAAGCACCCCAAACCTCCAGGCAGACATTGAGGCCAACGGCTTCAGCTGGGAACTTTGCATCTGGAACTACGGGCAGGTTTATAAAGGGTTTAAGGGACGGGAAGCCCAAAAAGAGCTGTTGGGATAGTTTTTACGGTGGTTACAGCTAAGCGTTTCTGTGCATCGACGGTTGTAGTGCAACCATTACAAGGAAACCGAAGGGATAATGTTGGCAATTACTCCGGCTTCTATGGTAGATGACTTACAACCTGAACCCGAGGAAGACTCTTAAACTCATCCAAAACCGACATCCTAAAACCATTACGGCTGCTGATAACACTCCTGCATTACCTTAATCACCCTAGACTGTGGGAATTATGGCATGGGTAATGAAGTACTTATATCATCACTTATATCATCAACCGTACCACCCACCCAATCCTCAAAGCCCCTGGCGCGGCCCGATTTTCCACCCCTCTCTCCGGAAGCAAGTAAGATGAGTTGATGTAAGTCCCTCGTTCAGCTGTCGTACGGCAGTGCTTCAATGACGGGGTTTTGGGTTTAGGGTTTCGAGGTTTAGGGTTTAGGGTTTAGGGTTAGGGGTTTTGGGTTTTGGGTTTTGGGTTTTGGGTTTAAAGTTCCGGGGTTTAGGGCCTTTTTTGGGCTTAGGGGGTCAGGCTGCCGGGCTTCGGGTCCGCAGACGTGGAGTTCAGGGCCCCTACCAGGCCCTGCCCCAAACATCTGGGACCTTAGCCTTACATGGGAGTTTCCGAAAATAGGGGACCCTAATATAGTACCCCAAATAGTAGGATCCTTAGTATAGGGACCCCAGAAAAAGGTACCCCTAAGTTTCGGAAACTCCCACATGGATACAGGACTCAGAGCCAGTTTAGAATAGAGGGTTAGGAGCTTCGGGCAGAGGATTTCGGGTTTTGGGCCTTGGCACTGAGTTCACGGCCGCGCTTTGCCGTAGCATTGCGGGTACCCCTTGGGACCGATGGGAATGGTGCCGTTGCCGGTGCGCCCGAAGTATCCTTGCTTTGCGTGGGCGAGAATGCCTTCATGAACCACACTCTCGATTCCAGGAAGGGCCATCATCCGGCCCATCCATTTCCAGACCCCGGCATACTCGAACAGGAAAGCCTGGTTGAGCTTCATGCGGTTGTGATAAACGGGATCATGGCGCCAAAGCGTCGTGAAGGCACGCAAATCACACTCTGTTACTGCGCCGAGGATGAAGTCCTTGCCCTCCAGCAATCCATTGAGCCGGTCCAGGGCGGCGAAGTAGGCCGCAAAAGCCGTCTCGTAGACGTCTTGATTCGAGGAGAAGCCCGCCTTGTACGCCCCGTTGTTGATATCCGTGTACAACCAAGTGTTGGTATCCTCGACTTCTTGTTGCAGTGATGCCGGGTACAACTCGAGGGGGCGCTTTGCATACGGCAACATCACGGTCTCAAACATGCGCATGATCTCTGCACTTTCATTGTTTACCACCTTCCGAGACACCTTGTCGTACAAGATGGGTATGGACTTCTGTTCCAGCCCCGACTCGGCGTAGATGTCAACGATGTACTTCTTTCCACCCACGGTGTCAGCTGTACATTCTGGGAAGGTGACATGGCGACCGTTTTGCCCTGTGGCGCCTTCCGGAGCAAAGCGCCAGAGGTTCTCACCTCGCTCGTCTGCGCTGGTGGTGCGCCCCGGAAAGCACACATCCATGGAGATCGCATCCTCGAGACCCAAGACCGCCCGAACCAGCGCAACCCGGTGGCACCAGGGACAGTTGAAGGCAACGTAGAGGTGGTATCGGCCAGATTCTGCCGGAAACTCTTCGCTGCCGATGAAGGACCGGGCGCTTGAAACCCCACGGACAAACTCTCCTCCGGCACGGCGCTCCGCTGCGTTCGTCTGATCGTCAGTGGTGACACCTGCGGAACCCACCACGGCCATGCTTCAGGACAAGACCGATACAAGAAAAATGAGATGAAGGCATCGAAACACTCGTAAATCCTAAACCTGACGCTCCCAATCAATATGCTCTTCTTCCTGAATAGCAGTGTGTGTGTTCTCTCTCCGGCTTTAGAGTTCCAAGTTTCTGTTCTTGGGCACTCCACCTGAAGTTTGGAGCCACACAACGCAGGAATCAGGCATTCGCGTCTTGGTTGAACTCAGCACATGCGCAGTGAAACAACCGACATGAACATGTCCTCGATCCAGCATTGCCCTACAGAAGTTCCTGTGTAGCAGTAAAAGACAGTATAAGCCCTCACAACCCTAAACCCTAAGACCCTAAGCGCCCGTTTCCCGACGCCGCTCCCAGACGCCGCGCGAGAGCCCGGTGAAAGTCGCAACAGCCGCCTCACAAAGAATTGCAGTCTATGGGAGTTCTAGTAGGTTCCGGAACATAGGGCCCAAGTCCAAGGCCTTAAACCCTAGACCTTAATCGTAACTAAACACTAAGCCTTCACCCCAACCCAGACCCGAACCCTGAACCCTAAACATCGAGGCTTGTGGAGCTCCTCCATTCGGATAGCTAGAAGCGAGGACCAGAAAAGAGCGAACGACGCCGCTTGAAGGCTCTGGGGTTTAAAGGTTTCACTTGCGGCCTTTTGGAATGAGGATCCCCATACCACCCGCTTACTTTCCCACTGCCTTATGCTCACATTCAGCTGCCATCTTCTCATTCGTCGAGCGCTTCTTATGTCGGTAGATGATTCGGCTCAAGGCCACTGAGAAGCCCGCCCAGCGGTTGCCGTTCCACTTGTCCAAACTCACGTGCCCAGTCCACCTGCGAGGCAACTCTCACTTCACAGTGAAATCCAAGCAAAGAGGCATTAAGTCGCATAGCGTCTCGGGGTGTATGATGGCAAGCTCACCGTGATGAACCCTTGGGAATAGTATTTGTAAGTATCGATGCTTATTTTAACAAATCAAAGACAGCAAAGTGCAAGCCCAGGTATCCTCGAATATTTTTCGTTCCTTGTTTACGGATTTCTTCCCACATCCTCCTCCATGTGGAAACTCTCAGTATCCCATAATTATGAGGAATAGTCCTTGAACTTGTAGTAGGGATCGGATCCCAGGCCTTGAATTTCGAAAGCTTCCTAAACCTATAGCAGGGCTCCTCAATAGAAGTTATATTCGAGGGAGTTGGACAGGAGCGGAATACGCTCTTGCGAAGGGCTAGGCGTAGGCAAATCTGAGAGGTGCCGTTCGAGTTTACTCAATAATAAGCTACATTTTCAGGGTTTCGCGCTTAAAGCTTAATATAGGGCTTTTTGCGTCGCAAAGAGTCTGAAAAGTAGAGTTTTTGTTTTGTGAAGTGCAGTGGCTTCTTTCTCTGCTCCGCAAGCAAAGCAGCAGGGAATTGGCCTGCTCTCTTCTTTAGGGTTTAGGGCTTTTTGGCTCCCGCATGGCGTGTGGTGCTGGCTTTCAGGTGCACAGGGCTGGAAGGTTTCGCAACGACGGGCATGAAGGTCTTCTCCTCACTCTGTCATTACATTGATTCTGCCGAGGGTGCTGGGTGACCACATTCTCCAAGAGTCAGTGGCGGCACTTTTGCTGAATTACATGTCTTGTAATCACGGAAGGGAAAAGAATAACGCTCTGCCGACGACTGAGGAGCTGCCAACCACTTTTCTGTGCAGTTACAGCCTACACCTGCTTGGCTCGTTAACACGACGTGCTGACTGCTAGCGTACTACTTCAAATAGCTTCTAACGTAAACACCAAGGCAAAGATGCAGAACGTTTTGACCAAGAGCAATCCACTGCAAAAGTGGCCCACCAATAGCCTGATCGCCGCTACAACCCCAAACCGCAATCAACCGTCAACCGGGCTGAGAGCCAGGAGCTTGTACTCCAAACCTTGAACTCAACTAAGGCCATGGGCCCGAAAACGAAAAGCCTCAAACCGAGCCAGGGGCCAGGGAGCATCTGCGTTGCCACGGGCTGGGAGACTGGACTGGAACCTTCCCAGAGGTTACGGTGCAGGGTTAAGCGCTGAAAGGCTTCCGGGTTCGGGGTTGCAGCGTCACAGTTAAGTAGTTCACAGTTCTGGGGTTGAAGGGGTGTAGAGTTCGCGGCACTTCAGGGTGTGCCGAGGATCTGCCGGCAGGAACCCTCGTTGTAAAACTTCGGTAAACTTTTCAAAATCCTTCAACCCCAAATTCTCGCTTGGGCCCTTTTTTTGCCACTGGACTCCTCCCTTGGACCCTAAATCCTAAACCTGGGCCCCCGGGCAGCCGGAAGCAGCGGATGTTCCTCGCCCGTGGCAGTGCCTGAAACGCTTCTTTTAAGGGGCTGCATGGGGCTTGGGCTTCAGAAATCATAATAGAGGGCCTTAATAACTAGAATAGGGTTTTGGGGCCCATTATACTATAATTACAATAAGGAACCTCCAGAATAGTATAGGCAATTATTAAAGGCCCCTATAGTACAGACCTCAGCCTGGGAGGTGAGGCCGCATTTCGTTGCTGATGCCAGGGCGGCATACTGCAGCTTCGCAAGACCCTGTTCCTTACCTTTTGTTAGTACGGAATGGAAGAATGGCAGTAAAAGTAGTTATAATTGTACCCCATTCCCAAAGGTAAGGTTGTGATGCTGATTGTGCCTGCTGATGCTGAGTCCTACAAGGTCGATCCGAAACACATGCCACACGCGTCTGATTCTGATGACGCTCGGCTGCCTTGCATCGTGGAACGGCACCGCGGACCGTTGATGTTGATATTCTCAGTGCAATGTCCGATCTGCCCACGCGTACACACAGGAATCCAGCCAGGAATCATCAGCATCAAGTGCTGTTGGGACGATCGAACCCAGGATCATCAGCATCAGCAAGCTTAGGCTATGTGAGAAAACAGCCGGGCACCGCTGCACCACAACCCGGTTCACAGGACCGGCCTTCCTGCCAGATGAAAAAGCAATTTGATGTCGTGCTTGCGGAAGCCTTCTCATGCCTGATTGCCAACCACCGGGGCTGGGTTCTCGTGCACCAAGCGAATGCTCACGATGCTCGGCCGTCCCTTGGGCTGGCGAAGCCCCAATCTAGTCAGTTGAACATTCTGCAAAATCGTGAAGCCCCAACCCACTGATGCTGGTGATGCTCGGCTGCCCGGTAGCTCATTGAAAACTCTGCAAAAGGTGAATCCCATCATGTTGGGCAGGTGAAGCCAGAACCGGCTGATGCTGGTGATGCTCGGCTGCTCGCTGGCAAGTTGAAAATTCTGCAAAAAGGTGAACCCAACCCACTGATGCTGATCATGTTCGGCTGTCGTCCTGCCGGGTGAAGCCAGAACCCGCTGATGCACCTTTTTGTTTCACTGAGCAACCGAGCAGCCGAGCATCACCAGCATCAGCGGGTTCTGGCTTCACCTGCTCAGACGGCAGCCGAGCATCCTTGCAGAATGAGCCACCGAGCAGCCGAGCATCACCAGCATCAGCGGGTCGTGGGTTCACCCGCCCAGACGACAGCCGAAGTCAATCAGCATGAGTGGGTTGGGGTTCACCTTCTTGCAAAATTTCAACTAGCCAGCGAGCAGCCGAGCATCACCAGCATCAGCGGGTTCTGGCTTCACCCGCCCAGACGACAGCCGAACACGATCAGCATCAGTGGGTTGGGATTCATCTTCTTGCTGTTTCAATGAGCCACCGAACAGCCGAGCATCACCAGCATCAGTGGGTTCTGGCTTCATCCGCTCAGACGGCAGCCGAACTCGATCAGCATCAGTGGGTTGGGGTTCACCTTCTTGCAGAATGTTCACTGAGCAACCGAGCAGCCGAGCATCACCAGCATCAGCGGGTTCTGGCTTCACCTGCTCAGACGGCAGCCGAGCATGATCAGCATCACTGGGTTGGGGTTCACCTCCTTGCAGAATTCTCAATGAGCCACCGAGCAGCCGAGCATCACCAGCATCAGCGGGTCGTGGGTTCACCCGCCCAGACGACAGCCGAACTCGATCAGCATCAGTGGGTTGGGGTTCACTTTCTTGCAAAATTTCAAGTAGCAAGCGAGCACCCGAGCATCACCAGCATCAGCGGGTTCTCGCTTCACCTGCTCAGACGGCAACCGAACATGATCAGCATCACTGGGTTGGGGTTCACCTCCTTGCAGAATTCTCAATGAGCCACCGAGCAGCCGAGCATCACCAGCATCAGCGGGTCGTGGGTTCACCCGCCCAGACGACAGCCGAAGTCGATCAGCATGAGTGGGTTGGGGTTCACCTTCTTGCAAAATTTCAACTAGCCAGCGAGCAGCCGAGCATCACCAGCATCAGCGGGTTCTGGCTTCACCCGCCCAGACGACAGCCGAACACGATCAGCATCAGTGGGTTGGGATTCATCTTCTTGCAGAGTTTTCAGCTAGCCAGCGAGCAGCCGAGCATCACCAGCATCAGCGGGTTCTGGCTTCACTCGCCGAGTTGGCAGCCGAACATGATCAGCATTAGTGGGTCGGGGTTCACCTTCTTGCAGAATCTACGTCGATGAAGCCCCGACCCCCTGATGCTGATGTCGCTCGGCTACTGTTCGTCAGAACCACAGCATGCGGCTGATGCATTGATGAGCTCATGCTTGCGCACCTCTGTTTCGCATATCCCTGGAACCCAAGCATCGTGCCCCCGCCTTCAATCAGAGAGTTGTTCCACATGTGGTCACAAACACCAACCCCGAAATACTATACTATACTATACTATACTATACTATACTATACTATACTATACTCTATATTATACCATATTACCCTACAGTTTACTAGACTATAAAATTCAACACCCAAGCTGCCGACCTTCAACACGCAAGCCCGAGGCGTGGCCTTGCCAATCCACGCAGCTCCCTTCAAGCATCGAGTGCACACCTGAGGGGTCCGGTTTAGGCCCTAAACCCTAAACCCTAAACCCTAAACCCTAAACCGTAGGGTTTAGAGCTTAGGGCTTTTTTGGGGGTTTAGGGTTCAGGGTTTAGGGGTTGAGGTTTAAAGTTTTTTCTTGGAAAGACTGGAATAAGGGAGTACCTTAGGGTTTCTTTGAAGGGCTCTTGAAGGGCTCTAGACGGTGTTCCGCTTGGCCAGGGACTGGAGCTTTCAGCGAAATCTTGGTTTTAGGGCTTACTATGGTTTGGGGTTTCGGGTTTAGGGTAAATCAAGGTTTAGGGTTTATAGTCTTTTACCGGCTACCAAGAGTTGCACCCAAGCGACAAAGGGCTCAGGCATCGTTTTTGTTTACAGGATTGATGTGAAGCTCAGGCCCCAATATCATCCGGGTGATTGACAAAAACCTGGTTGTGCTGTCTGGCAGTCAACCTAAGCACCGTCAAGCCTAACACCCCGAACCCCTATTTTCGTTCTGATTCTGTCATCCTTAACCCGAAACCCATTTACTAAACCCTGAGTTTTGGGGCTTCGATTCTAATTCCTGTGTCTTTTTTGTTCTCATGGCTTCGGTCTGGGGTTTTCGAGTCTGTGCTCCAGGCCCAGGAATTCGGGTCCGAGCTTAGAAAAACCCATCAAATTTGTTTTCTAGGGTTTAGGGTTTCAGGGTTCATTGCTTTTTTGATACTCACACTCGGACAAAGCCTGGCAAGGTCTGCAGCGATACTGGTTTAGGGGTTAAGCATAAAACTTTTATGTCTTATGCACTGCCCGGATATAGGGACTGTCAGGGAACTGCACTACCATCCAATAAAGCACCTAGAACTTTGGACTCACGGCTGACTTCAGCGGAGGGTTTGTTTGCTTTTGTGACTGGGCGTGTTCTGAGGAAAGGAGTATGAGTAGTATCAACTGCACCGCAAGAATTCGATGACCTGGACAATACCCCACGCAGAAAAAACCTTAAGGTTTTGGGGTTTTTGTTCTAAGGACCCAACTCGGCATGACACAGGCACCCCAAGCCCAGCACGGACCACCAATCGGTGAGCTGGTCTTGGTCAAAAGCCAGGCTAGCATTTCGAGAAGGCCTGAGTGGGCTCCGCGGCTTCATTGCGAGTTCACGGCTTTGTGGCAGTGGTGGCGTTGCTTCTCCATAATAAACATCAAGGACGTACCCACTACAAAACCGATTCCTACCATGGGTGTCTTTAGAAGAAGGGGTAGCTCTGGAGTTGAAGATTTGGGCTGTGATATCGGCGCATGGCCAAAAGGGCCTAAACATCCAGACACTGACTCGCCAACCGAAACAAGACGCAACAGACCATGCTCCCAATCCCATTCACCTGCACAATCAGACCAGAGGCGAAAAACACACACACTCAACTTTTAAACACTCTAAACTCTAAACCCTGAACCGGAAACCCTTGAACCGTCAGCTCCCTCTTTTGGGTCCGCCCACTGCAGCGGATCCTCCCCTGCTGCAATGTACAGCCCCTCCACCTGCAGGAAATCAGTAGGGCCTTAATGATTAGAAGAGGGCTTTGGTGTTGTTTATGCTGCACATATCATGGGAAGCCGTGAAGAACCGTACCACTACTTATTCACGCCCCTCCATGACCGTGTTAAAAGGTTTCTTTCACAAGGGTTGCACGAGCTACGTGTAGAGTCTACATTAGAGTCTCTCGGTTTTGAAACTCGCAGGTGGACGCTGCCACTTCACGACTGGCCCTTGAGCATTCAGCCAAGCAAGACAGCCAAAACCTTAAACTCTAAAACCCTTGAACCCTAAAACCCTTTTTTTTTACATCTGGACTTGATGAATACCACCCTAAAACCCTAAACCCTAAACCCTAAACCCTAAACCCTAAAACCCTAAACCCTAAAACCTAAACCCGGACCCTGAACGCAAGCCTTAGACCTCTGCACTTTCAATTACCTCGGCTCTTGGCCTTTAAAATGGCTTGGGATTCAGGGTTTAGGGGGTTTAGGGTTCAGGGGTTTAGGGTTTAGGGTTTAAGGTTTAGGGTTTAGGGTTCAGGGTTTAGGGTTTAGGGTTTTAGGTTTAGGGTTTAGGGTGTAGGGTTTAGGGTTTAGGGTTCAGGGCCAAAGGAGGCCTAGGATTCAGATCCGTAGGGCTTTAGGGTCAGTGTTGAAATTTGAGATGAGATCTAACAAAAGCAAGTCGGACGAAGGGGGTGTTAAGATAAACCCGACAAAGCCTCTAAAGTCTTTGCAATACCTTGCAGAAAACCCTTTGAGGGCTTGCTGTAAGGTTCCATTAAGGGTTCCTTTAAGGGTTTAGGGTTCTGTTGCTTAATCCTCAACCTCCAAATCCTGCAAACGCTCAGCAGCAAGCCTACCGCAATATGGGGGGTTTTCCGAAACAGGGGACCCTAATATAGCATCCTGAATACCAGGATCCGTGTTATAAGGACCCAAACCAGGTACCCATAGCTTTCCGAAGGTCTCATATACCGTGCAATGTACGGGCCTTAATAATTAGAACAGCGTTTGGTGCCCAGTATATTATAGCTGTACTGAGGAACCCGCAACACAGTATAAGTAACAATTATGGCCCCTATAGTACCGCCATTCACCTTGGTAGAAGCCCCCGCCTCCTGCTGGCAGTCGACGGTTTCGTAGAGCTGCAGCTCCTCTGCGCGAGAGAGAGAGAGAGAGAGAGAGAGAGAGAGTTGGCCTAATTCGAGATGTGTGCGGTCTGGATTAACAGGGTTTTTTTTGAAGGACCCTTTTCCGTCTCGCAAGATTCAGAAACAGGGTTCAGGGTTTACGGTTTAAGGGTGTAGCGGTTAACGGTTTGTGGTAAGATGCAAAACCCTAAACTCTGCCCTTGAACCCGAAAGAAAACCTAAACTAGAACCTGCTACATGCCATGCGAAGCAACTCCCTGAACCCTGAACCACGTCCTTCAACTCTTTCTCTATAGCAGATTCCACCATGTTCCCCCAGTAGGACGCGGCAGACATACAACAACAGCTTCTTACAAAGACGCCCAAGAAGCAATTACCTTGCTTTTGTATAAAAGCCTTACACCCCCGAACCTCGACTACAGCGCCGGGCAGAGTCTCTAACACGTAGGTTCTGAGCTTCAGGGCTTTATGGGTTTGGGCTGCAGGTTTAGGGTTTACGGTTCAGGGGTTTTTTTGACACTCACACTCGGACTAAGCCTGGCAATGTCTGCATCGATACTGGTCTCTTCGTTAACAAGCGACTGGCACGCATCACCAGATATTCATGGCATGTCCACCCAGCAATGTTTGTCCGATAGGGGTTTAGGGGTTTAGGGGCTTAGGGTTTACGCTGTCACAACTCGGACAGGCCAGGCGAGGGGTTTGGAGTTTAGGGTTTATGGTGTTGGTCTTGAGGGTTGCATGTGTAGGCGTCAACTTTTCCAGCGAGCGCCCGCGAAACCATCGAGATAATGCCTGCGGGCTCGCGGGTTGCAGACGCACTTGCCATCAAGGGTTTAGGGTTTAGGCTACAGGTTGCAGATCTCGCGTCAGAGAAAGCCTTGGCGAAGGCTTGGGCTGTCCGGTTTGGGCTGAGCTCACATTTTTGGCGAAATAATTTGTGTTCATTGTAGCCAATAATCGTACTATCAGTATCACTACCAGTTATAACTTATAACATAAGTAACACCAATGATATCTTGTCTATGCTTCGGGGGAGGAGTCGGGGCCTGCACAGTGGACTTACAGCTTCAGGCAGATTCGGATCGGTCTGGGTCCAAACGTCGGAAGCGTGTTTGGGGATACATTGTTGTTGTGCCAATATGACAAGGAAGCATACGGAATATTGTGAAAATAACAAGGAAGCCTACGGAATAGTGTCAAAGTAACAAGGCAGCCTACGGAATAGTGTCAAAATACCAAGGGAGCCTGCGGAATAGTATTATTTACGGCTTCTGCAAGATATGCAAGCGGAACAGAACGACAAACTCGAGCTGTTAAGCGCTATAGCTTCCTCTCAAGATGTTCCTAATAGCTGGCTTAGGCCGTGTTGCGGCCTATGAGCCTGAAACCCCAAACCTAGACACCCCCGAATTCAAAGCCATAACCTATACCCAAGCAAACACCCCTAAGACCTTTTTCAACAAAGCAAACTTGCCCTAAACCCTTTGGCCATCAATCAGCCCTCAACACGAATACAGGGGCCTGAAAATTACCAAAACTATTCTCGGGGTTCCTTAAGAATCGTACTAACATATACCTCACAACCCTCTTCTAAATATCAAGGCCCCTACATTAGGCTTCACTACTGGGGGGGGGATCAGAGGGAGCCTTGCTCAAGGCTTCTGGGCCTCACTTGGCCGCGAGCTCTGCGTTCCGGCGCAGGTGCCGGTAGAGTTGGAAGCCCAGAGCTCCCAGAAGAGGCGATCTCGGTTTGGGCTTTGAGGTTTTGGGTTGAGGGTCCTAAAGAGGGTCTTCTTGATTTTTGGGGTAGAGAGCTTTTTTTGGCTTAGGGTTTAGGATCTTCTTGGTTTAGGGCTTTGGGTTGAGAGCTTTTTGGTGTAGGGCTTTGGGTTGAAAGCTTTAGGTTTAGGTTTTAGGTTTTGGGGGTCTTCTTGGCTTGGGGGTTCAAGGTTTGGGGTTGAGGGCCTACGGGTCAGGGTTTCGACTCTCACAGCTTGGGCAATCCAGGCGAGGCGAATAAATGCTAGAAGTTCCATGAAAACAGAACGCCTCCTTGCGCTAGTCTTCAATGGGGTTAAGCATGATACAGAAATACATGCAAGCACGCAACAGATCTTCCTCTCTCCCTCGCTCTCTCGCAGACTCAAGGTCTGTCAGCCGTATGAGCGAGCCCACACGAAGCCCCGAAACCGGCCAGGGCGGCGTCAGCTCCCAGATCTCAGGGAAGCAGGCAGCAATGGCAAAGAGGGGCTGCAGAGGAACCGAGTTCACAAGGATCTGTGCCTGAGGGAGGGTGTTCTAGGCAGATTGGGGTTTAGGGCTCAGGGGCTTCGAGGTTTCGCTTCTTTTGGATTCTACCGGGTTTCGTGCCTGGGGGAGTTTAGGGTTCGTTTTGGATGCCTCTACTTGAGCTGCAAAACCAGTAGATTCCGTTGAAGGATCAAACATTGAGGCTCCAAATGCTTCAGGCCTCCTGCAGCCGCGGGTTCCCGAAGCAAAGTCGTGGAGGGCTCAGGGGTGACACTACTCAGGGTTTATGCAGGGAATGAATGCATCAGTTCTTTTGGCTCTGAGGTTTTTCCCAGAGCAGCGAGGCCTCATCGTACTGGATCGCCCGCACCACGGCCTTGGCGACCTTCGTGGGCGTCGTATATCCGAGGTGTCTGCCCGTCTCAGACACGGTGGCGCCGATCCTACCCGAGGCAGAAGCGGCCATCCCGACGTCCTCCACCAAGCCGGGGCTAACGCAGTGAAACGTCACGGGTTTCTTTTCCAAGCGCATCTCCAGGCGGAGAGACATCGTAAAGCTGGTCAGGGCGGCCTTTGTGGCGGCATAGATGCCACCATATGCCACGCAGCAGCCCCCTGCCGTTGAAGAGATGTTGACCACATGGGCTCGCTTCTCTTTCAGCAACTCCGGCAAGAAGCTCTTCGTGAGGTGGAGAGTGCCTGAAAGGTTGGTCTGGAGCATTGCATCCATGGCCTGGTTGTCCATGGACTCGAAGAAGGCGTACCTCATCATGCCCAGAACTCCAAGAGACAAGTTGCACACCTCGGGATCCACTAACCTGGGGTCTCTGGGTTGGGAACAAGGGAAAGCTGGACAGGAAACAAAGGAAAATGAACTGCAAGGCCGCCGAAACACGCAAGGACTCCCGCATTGTTGATGAGGACTTGGCACGGGCCGAAGGTGGTGGCCTGGCGTAGGAAATCGTTTCGGCTCTCACCGTCCGTCACGTCCAACTTCACCGTCAGGACCTTCACCTGGCAGCTTCTCCACAAGAAGAAAAGGCTCTAGCTTTGCAAATTTCACTGCCCCCTGCCCTCTGCCCTGCCCTGCTTGCCTTCGGGAAGTGTTTCGCAAGGTCGGCCTTGACCTCTTCCAGCTTCTCCACGCGCCGGGCACCCAAGACAAGCTTCTCCGCGCCCTCAGCCGCCAGCGCATGCGCGATGAACACCCCCAGACCATCGGAGGCGCCGGTGACTGCGCAGCACAGCCCCTTCAGCTCGTGCACACGCTTTGGGAAGAATGTCACGTACAACAACACCGCCAGCAGTGACAGCAAGAGAGCCCCACCTGCCACCGATGAACATCGAAACCTCTACACCTAAAGGGCAGTGATCCCCTGAACCGAGAATTCTAGCCTACCGCCTCTTCTGCACACCCGGGCAGGCCTGTGCAGCATAACAGCCACAGGAGCAGCCACATGAAGGCTCAGGCTACAGAGGTCATGTGGGCACACCACACGACATCGGAGAAAGTTTTGCTGGTCCTACAATCCCCTTTTGAACCTGTTGAAGCCCGAAACCCTCAACTTTGCCCTAAACGAATCCTGAATCTAATTGCAGGGCTCGAAGCTGCTGGAAGCTTCAAAGCAAAATGTTACAAGCCCGGATACAGGTACTCTCGTTGGGGTTATGTCCACATCTTTATTCTTGCACACCCAGATACCATGGAACAGGGCATCAGCATGGACAACCCTGCACCTTAAGCTGTGGCAGAAGACGGTTCATAGCACTGAAGTGGTTAAGCTTAGAAATGCTTAGAATAGGGGCTTTGGTGCTCACACTCGGACTCTTCAGGGCACATATCCACAGATGTGCTGGGGCATGCTTAGAGTTTCGGGTGTCAGGCTTTATCAGCAGGCCTCCAACAAACGCAATGGAACTGCTGAGGGAGTGCAATGGCTTATTTTATATTCGCAAAACAACGATGAAAGGAGCCACCGACACATGGGGGGTAGGTCTTTGGGTCTTTGGGTTTCGGGCTCTTGGGCTGCTTGGGCATGTAGGTCTTCATATACAGGCCGATATGAATAGAATCGAATTTCGAGGTAAGACCACAGTGTCATTCCCTTTAGGATAGAGGCTTTTGGTGCTTCAGGGCTATCAGCTCAGAGATGTTTGAAAACTACGTTTCAAGTGCTTGGCTAAAGCCGCGGTACATCGCAAATCCTACGCCCGACACCGTTTTGCAGCTGGGCTCTTAGTGTCGGTCACTCTACACCCTAAACCCTACACCCTAGCCCATTTTAAGCACTGACTTTGAGTGTACGCCGGCAGCCATAGCCCTCAACCCCCAAACCCAAAACAGAAACCCAGGGCTTCTGAAATCCTCGGGGCTCGGGTTCTCCACTTAGTACATAAGTGCGTTGAGTGAGGGCCTTGTGGTTTCGGTGCTCAAGCTCGGACAATCCAGGCGAGGCGTATGGTTCGGAGGTCTGCTGAGTGAGACAGTTCTAACAGGAGGAGCCAGGAATGGGGTTTAGGGTTTTAGGTTTACGGGTTTTGGGTTTTGGGCCTAGGGGGTTTTAGGGTTGAAGGTTTAGGGTGGTCTTGGGGTATGGTTTGGGGTTTGATGGCCATTGCTTAGGCAGTAGTATCTTCACATTCGACAAAACAAGTCCGGAAATGGTCCATCCGGCTCCGACAGGCTGAGGGGTAGGGAGTACTACAGGGGCCTCCGCAACTTTAATAGGGCCTTGCCGCCTGATTTGAAG